CATTTTGTACCACTTGAGGCGCAAGAATCCATTTTTGTGCGAAGATTTGTGAGTTTTTGGTGAAATTGCTTTGAATCTTATCTAAAATGCTTATAATTGATATCCCCGCCCCCAGGTTTATATTTCTTTGAGCTGGATGACAGGTCTGTTCTTCCTGGTTACCCTAAACTCATCGAGGAGGTGTGGGGAATTGCAGGACCCATCAGCGCCGCATTCACCCGCATCAACTGCCAAGGAAAGTCGTACATCTTCAAGGTGAGAACCATAGCAGCTACAAGCTTTAAGAAGTTATTTTTAAACCAAACTATCCAGTCTGAATGTAATATTTTAACATTCTAATTGTTCAAGTAGGAAGGTTATTTTCAGCAAGAGTGCAGGAAAAGAATGAGCTGCATGTAGTTTCTTAAATTATGGTCTTATAAATTATAAATTCAAACATTACTTGCTGTTTCTCTCATAAAGCTAGGGAATAATTTAAGCAGGAACTCTGATTCAACAATTGTTATTTTATTGTCACTTTTTGATAACATTTTGATCAACTAGATTTTGTTAAATAGTAGGTTTCCAGATTTTTTAAATAAAACATCTTATTGTTTTTCTTCTACCACATGCCACTTTGTTTTTGTTTGTCATACAAAATGCCAATAAAATATTGATGTTTATGGTCTTGATGTTATGAAATGTAAATTGACTTTTGCAAAGCACAGTGATTATTAAAGCCTCCCACCATTTGGCTCTGTATATTTTGTATCAAAGGGCAACCAGTACTGGAGATTTGATGGCGATATCTTAGATGAGGACTATCCCAGGGACATTTCCGTTGGCTTTGAAGACATCCCAAATGATATAGATGCAGCTTTTGCTGTACCTGCACCAAGTCACCAAGGAAAAGAGAAAGCCTACTTTTTTAAAGGTATTTTCAGAGAGAAGAGAGACAAATTGCAGCATTTAAATAGACAAGAGACCTTGTTTTTATCCTGTCTCTAGACGCTTGGTGCTGCTGAAGGGCCTTACATTTACATTTATTCAAATGGCCACCAGAGGGTGCCTCTAACATGAGCAAAAGATTTGCAGAGAAAATATTTCTACGTTTAGTTTTAAAATTCTTTATAATGTTCTTCTTTTTGTTCAAATACATACTGATTAAATAAGCCACTAACTTGTCGTTAGTTTAAAAAGATTCTGCTAAAACAGCGTCTGTTTGGTTTCTCTCAGGTGATAAGTATTACCAGTACGAGTTCAACCACCAGCCGTCCCATGAAGAGTGCATCTCCATGAGCAGTACCTCTCCGTCTGTTCTGTTCACCCGGTACACAGACCTGTTCTGTGAGCATCCGCTAGAGAACCTCTTCAAAGATCTCTTTGAAAGCTTCTGTAAGACCCAGATACGGTTGGCTTACATTATGTATTCCCTCACTGGCCACTTTATTAAGTACACTTCAATTTCTTGCTAACACAACTGATGAATCGGTCAAATTAAGTGCAGTTAGACATCAAGATGTGCTGAAGACTAAGCATCAGAATGAGGAAGAAAAGAAAGTAAGAAGATCTTCTTCAAAGATCTTCCTAAATCCATGCCACAAAGACATAATACACTTTTTAGGACAACAGAATGCCCAACCTGGTACAACTAAAGTGTATCAAATAAAGTGGCAAGTGACTGTATGTTTTATAAACATTACTCATGTTCTCCCTTTCTCTTCATTCAGACACTCATGACTCTAGCCCCCAACTCATGTTTAGGGACTGGAAAGGCTTTAGCTCCCCTGTTGATGCTGCCTTGGTAGGAAAGGTTTCTCTTAGTCCCAAGCCAACAATATCGTCTCCACCAGCAAGGCGGAGGGGCAGAGAGCGGAGGAGGAGGCCCAGCAAGAGACGTCGCCCTCAGCGCACAAGGCAAAGTCGCCACGTGTTTGATGATTTGTGGTTCGATGACGATTGGTTTGACTTTGGCCTAGATTACAGTGACACGGCTGAAGTAGCTACAGTCCAGGAATACAAAAGCACCCCAGTTCAAAATGTCTACTTTTTCAAGAAAGGTATGATTACGGGGATTATGTTTTAAAAACTCATTGCTTTAATGAACTTCTTCATTTTTGAAGTTTCTGCTGTAACTTTTAATTCTTTGCTTGTCCGTTTTGTTTCTCTTGATGTTGACAGACAAGTACTACAGAGTGTCTCTGCAGACTAAACGGGTGGACACTGTTAGCCCTCCTTACCCAAGATCCATTGCAAAATATTGGTTGGGCTGTGAAGAGGAAGACCTGACTGATTCAACCAGGGCAGAGAAGAGATAGGTCATCTAAGACACAGACACATCTATGCAATAAACACCCTGCACCCAGTGATAATAGCATACTTATTTGTTGCTACTGCTTTTTTCTTATGCATGTGTTAAACCTGTGCATGATTTAATTCATTTTAAAGGAATAGTTTTTTAAAAGTAAACAGTGAAAACCAGTTAAAATTAACACTACATAACTCTCTCTTTGTTACTATTTAGCATACATGCAGATTAGATGGACCTGACGGAAAAACACCCAGACCAAACAGACAAAACCTTTGGTCTCAAAACAATCACAGAGTTTGATGCAAAATCAGTTTTAAGAACGTTTAAACTGTGTTCATGATTGCATTTAGTGATTATTCAGACAGAAGATGGTGAGTATTTTTATGTAAAAAGAAAGCAGGATGTCCAGTGTACAACTTAATGAAATGGCAATAAAATTAACTATAGAATAGCCTGCTCATTATATGAATTTCTTTCATTTGAATTCTTTGGCTTTCCATCTCAGTAAGACTGTTTCATCATATTTGTTGAAATTGGTTTTGTGTATGTCTTTGGTGTGTAGTTATGTGCATTTTTTTTTCCAGATGCATTTGTTAGAAGATAAAAATTGTAATCTATTCCTTTAAATTTTAGTATGCTTTGTAGTTCTGTTCCTGTAGCAATATAAGTTGCATGCTTGATGCATGTTGTTTATCTTTTTAACGTTTTAATCCTCAGATACGTTTATAAAATTCGTGTTATGTGTAATCTTTGACACGCAGCTATATATTGCCTCTGCCTGGAAAAACATCTTTGGTTTGCGTCTCAGATATTTGAAACAGTTGCGCCCTCTGGTGGACAAATTGCCTCTAGAAAAATCCTCACATGAAATAAAAAAATACACTGACAACACAAGTCGTATTTTCTGTGTTTATTATGACTTTGATTTAATTTGCTTTACACTAGTTGTGAATATTTGTATTTTCATGACTAACAGTTCATCATATCAGAGTACATTATGTCCAACAAATTATTATTATTTCTACTTTGATAACGGAGTCAATTTTTTTGTTTCATATGTCACAAATTCAAATGGGTTCATTTAACACCATTTCATATAGAAGTGTCAAATATATATATATTTCAACAAAATTTCCACCCACAATATGGCAGCGAGATAGACGTACGTACGTCATGACGCTTTAGAGACGTTTTCTGAACTCTTCCGACTGACTAAATGTTATTTTCCATTGTCCTCTCAGTTTTTGGAATGGTAAGCTTGTTTGGAAAATAGATGAATGACAATCTACAGGGAAAAATTAAATGGGCAAATAAAATTAAAATAACCAAAAGGCACCGCTGGGATTCGAACCCAGGATCTCCTGTTTACTAGACAGGCGCTTTAACCAACTAAGCCACGGCGCCGGGCGACAAAATTGTACAAATATGGGTTCATAACCACACGGAATGTCTAGACAATGTGTGTCTATAGATACAAAATATTGCAAATCAAATCTCACAAGCCAATACATTGTCCAACATGAAAGCAGACATTTCCAGATCGCCCACCAATTCTTTGAGGCACAAACCAGCCGGATCACCCAGGGAGTCGCAGCTGATTCTCTGGTGGAAGAGCTGACTGTGGGAGTCCCCCGTGGATTTAACTCGCGGTGGATTTAATACCTTCAATGTAGAGCCTTTAAAATTACAGAATAAAGTCAGAATATTTTTCCATAAAAACCCTGGTGTTTGGAGCATTAAGTTGAAGTTATGATACTTCCCAGATATTCATTTCCACCTGCCTGCAGGTTCTCAGTCATTCATGGCAAAACAAAAAAATATTTAAAAATAAAGCAACTTAACAAATTTAAATAATACATAACTTGTATTGAGAGCCACTACAATAAATCAATATTTATGAGGAATTTTATTCAGCGGAGTTCCTCATTATAACTTTTTATTTAGAGTCTTAAATTTTTGTCAAGGTGCAGTAGAGATTAGATCAGTGACATGAGCCAAGCTTGTATCTAAACATCTGAATTTTAGTTTGACTTCTGTGGATCTGACACATTTGATATGCACTTAGTCATTTTTTGAACACTTTAAAAACTTTTCAAACCACATTTTAAAAATATCACTGCAATTTTTCTGACCCTCCAAAACTGCGCTGAAGAAATGTCCCTGTTCAGGGTCCCTCCAGTGAGATGGGATTTCCAACCCTGAATAGATCCAATCTGATTGAGCCAATTTGTACAATAATTGTTCAAATGTCCAAAACATTTGCTTTTGTAACATCTCTAATATGTGGTAAAATATCGGCAGCTGTGGTAGATTTATTTCCTAAATTTTCTTTTCCACAAAATATGCAACCAGTTATTTATGATATTTGTAATGATTTATTACATAACACCAAATAAAAACCGTAATGAAGCTGTTATGTAGGCTACTTAGGAGTAATTGTAAGGCTTATGGCTGCAAAAGTTTGTAATTAATAGCAATAACTTTCTAATTGCTATATAGTTTTATAAAAGTGTGCAAGTAAAGAAAAACAGTGATGGGGCGGCAGGTAGCGGTTCAAACTGCACAACAATGTGAAGTTCTGACCTGCTGGTGGCGCTAGAGATCATGTTTTGGACCACTGTGTCTTCTCTAAAATGAAATGCATCACAGTTTGGAAACGTCTCATTGCGACATAAAGCAGTAGATGCTGAAGTTCAGTGCGTGGCTGTGGGAAAACATGCAAACTGAGTCCGGCTGCAGCGGCCCGGACCAGCCCACGGTGGGTGGGACCTAACGGGGAGAGGAGGGCCGCTTCTGTCGGCCTGCTGTCATTGTTCAGCCCCGGGGGTAATCGCACCATCCAGGCGGTGAAGGTCTTCACATTTCTCTGAAATTATAAAGGTAGGAGTTCAACAATCGGATGTTTTTAGAGCTTTTCCTCTATATCCATCCAACACTCTGTACAGCAGATCAATGGAGCTGTAACTAAGCGGAAGATCCTGTTTATGTAAAGGAAGTAGGTCAGTATTTGTCGAAAAGATCCTAATAACAAGATGATTAAAGCTGCTGGACTAAGATCTGGAAAAGTTGCACCTGTAAGTTACGTTAAACGACACAGATCCGCTATGCTGCAAGCCGTGACCCGGATGTTGAACGTCTGTCTACCTTTAACTGGGAACCATCCCAGTATGACCGCTGCTGTTATGGGAAGCTCGCTGCGCTCATATTACTGCTGCACTTTCTTTGTGTCTGTAAACAAAGGGCGATTCAGCCAAAATGACAGCAGGGCGATAAAAGAAAACGTGTTTTACTAAATAGACTCATCATTCTGGTCTATTTAGTTTACAGGAATAGAAATGTTTTCAGAACATGTTAAAGAACTGAGAGCAAGTCTGATGGGTTGCACAGTGCAAATGTTTACAGCTGAAAGTTTAACGTTAAAAATGAGGGCGTTCCGGTATTTTAAAGTACACAAGTTATAATAATATTTATTAGTCTTATGCACTCACCAGTAAAAAATAATGACACGTTTCAGCATCAAGTACTTCTGATGTATGTTCAAGTACACACAAGTACATGTATATATATATATATTATATATATAATATATATATATATATATATATATATTATATATTATATATATATATATACACCAACATTTTTTTCAAACTTACCAAATTTCCAGTTAACCGCATATTTTGATCTGTCCTATTATGTGATTTTTCAATATTAAATGATTGATGTTTTGATGAGTTTCTTGGCACTTAAGTGTCCTTTTTAACATAATACATTTTTACTCTATAGGAATTTATTGGACGACTCTTTTTTTACTTTTACTTGAGTTAAAATATGCTGAGGTGGTTCTTCTTCTCTTGGTTGATTACTGCTTTTGGCTTCTTTGCCCACCTTTGGTCCAAAGTCTTTTCATGATGTTTGAGTCGTTTTCTAGTTACATTGTCATGACCTTTGACATTTAACTTTCTAACTCAGGCCTGCAGAGTCTGACATGTAGGTATCTTTCTGTTTTTATTTCACAAAGCATCACAAGGGGAAATTCACCTGGACTTGGGCTGGGAGATACGGACTTAAAGTTTTATCACGATACTTGGCAATACTGTTGTGATAGCAATAACAGTGATAAGAATAATTTCTTACATTGTTTTAGGTAATTTTATGACTCTAACTGTGTGTCACAGCAATTATAGTCCCACAAACACCAAAACGCTCTTGAAAAATGTTTCCATTTGTGACATGTTTCTTTAGGACACCAGTCACATGAATAAGTGTGATTAGATTGTTGATTGATGATTAGATGGTTATTTTTTATGAATTAAGTTGATATTAAACTTAACTCTGAACTGTGATGCCTGTTTTGGTTGTAGGATGTCTCGAGAGCAGCAGGCGGTGGCCCGGGCCAGGAAGGCCTTCGAAACGGGTCGGTCCCGACCCCTGGAGTACCGGATCATCCAGCTGAAGAACCTGCAGCGCTTATTCATAGAAAGGCAGAAAGAGATCTCAGATGCCGTCAAGAAAGATCTCAATAAAGTGAGTGATAAATGTTAGATATAATAAACAATTAGAAACCAGCTCTTATGCTTAATTAGTTGTCTAAATGTAACTCAAAAAGATGAGAAAAATGAGGTGAAATACATAAAAATAAAAAAAACATATTTTCTTCTATTTGTTTACATACACAATCCTGCTAACTTTAACTGCTACCAGCACTACGTTTCTGTTCGGATGGTGTGTTAAGGTTGTTTTCAAAACAACTTGAACTTAAATAATAATAGTAAAACATTTTATTTCTAAAATGCATTTCAAGACACTCCACTTAGGTTCCTTCTCATTTTCTGCAGTCAGTGGGACTGTTTCTACGTTAGCTAATGCTAGGTTCAACATTTTCTCCATCGTCAGAGTGAAGTGGGGACGCAGCTGTATGAGACTCTGGGTCTGGAGGGGGAGATCAGCCTGGCCATCAAGAAGCTGAAGGAATGGGCCGCCCCCCGTCCTGTAGAGAAGAACCTCATGACCCTTTCTGACACGGTTTACATCCAACCGGAGCCGCTGGGGGTGGTGCTGATTATCGGGGCCTGGAACTACCCCTGGGCGGTCACAGTCCAGCCTCTCATTGGAGCGATTGCAGCAGGTACTGCGGCTTGATTTGTCTTAGAGGCAGGTCAAAATTTAAGGTGGGATCCAACAATGTTTATAGTCACATCTGACAACTTTATTAGAAAATAAAGTTAGAGATCCCTAATCTATAATCTGCTTACATGACTTCAGAAAATATCTACCAGTAGACAGACAGAGGTCGGCAGAGTACCCAAAATTGTACTGAAGGAGCGATACATCAACATATTTTAGTCAAGTGAAAAGAAAATTACTGAAGTAAGAGTAAAAACGTATTTAATGGCCAAATGATTAATATTTAATATTTAAAAGTTACATAATCAAATGGACCAAAATATGAAATTAAGTGAAAATGTTTGTATTTTTAGGAACAAAATTACAATAATTTACATAAGTAGCAAAGAAATAAAATCAGGCAAAATATTTTTTTCCAAATCCAGTTTTTTTTTAATATAAAACATTTGAAACTTTAACTAAATTTGAAGGTGTGTGAATGTACCTGGTAAATTTGTGGTTAAAACATGTTTGTGGGTTGAAAATCCAGAAATCTAGAATAATTAGAAGTAGAGTGTATCATAAAGTTTATAGAAATTATTATACAATTATTCCCAATAACCACTTGTAGCTGTTTATCTACACAGTTAATTAAAATATTCTCCTACTGAAAGAAGTTTGTTTGCAGGTGAAAAAGAGTCATTCTAACCCAAGATTTTACACTTTAGTAGCTAAAGTTTGTTCAAAGCTACATAAAGTGATTTAATCTTTCTAGAGAGGATGTTCTTATTTTTTAAACCATAAGGATGTGAATAAAGCTGTTCAGGTTCTTTCTGGTTCTGCTGTGGGTTTTCAGTCCGTCTTGTGATCACCGCCGCTCTACTTCCTCTTTGTGTCCAGAATTTTGCCAAAAGCTTCACATTTTCACACAGATAAGTGGGTCAAAGCTCAAGCTGTGTACTCCAGACCGCTGTCATGACTGCAGCGTTTTAGAGATTAAAATCCCTGTAAAGTCTGCTCTCTGTAATTCAGGTTTTTATGTTTGGAAGTGTGAGCTTGCAAGGCTGAGCTTTATTCAACTGATTAACTTCATGAATTGCTGTCTCATTTGGCGCTCTCATGCTGAGGCTCAACTCTGATTTATTTGTGATTCTTACGTAGGATTTGGGAGGAGTTGCTCTGCTGTTTAACGTGACAATGCAATAATCTAAGCACACCTGTGTTGCATATTCCTTTACAAATACTTTACAGGTATTCTGGAGCAGCTGCTCGTCTGCAGCTCTGTTGAATAAATGCTACTTAGTTACATATTTAGAGTAAGAAGAAAGCGCCTGCAGCATTAAGTGGGGTGTTTGCACATGTTGGACTTTGTTCTGCAGTATCAGAGCTTAACACAAACTCCTGCTGGGTCAGAAGTCTTTGATAAGCTTACACAATAAAATAAGTCTTTAGGCCAACAGTCATTACTTCATCTTCAGCTGTCTTGAAATGACTAAAATTGTGGAATATTGTTGTGCAATCAATGATACCCATAATTTGGATTTTGATAAGATGGTGACATATGTTTTGTTTTTTAATCTGGTTGATAAAAATGTTCTGATGAATTTGAACATGTGTTTAAATCATAACACATACAGTGTAAATATTTAATGAATCAAATAAACACAAAGCCTATTTTTGTTTTAAACTAGTTTACTTGCACAAGCTCTAATCTGTACACACACCAGGAATAAGATGAAAGGTTACTGATGTTGTATTTTGTTATGTAAGATGCTGTCTGAGCTTGTAATGCCTTGAGGAAATTCAAATGGATCATCTGAGCTGTTGTAGTGCAAATGATGAACGTCCTGAATAATTCAGCACTTGTTTAATGTTTATATTGTGCCATGTAAAAGTATTCATACCCTTTAAACTTCATAACGTTTTGTGACTTTAAAACTACAAATTTGTCTGTATTTTTTGTCCCATGATAAATCAGCAGTGGTACATCAATTAATGTTAATTTAACATGTTGAAGTTTGGCTGATACGGACCAAACGTTCACTTCCTCTGCTGCCATTTTTAAAACTAAAGGCAGACTAAAATTGTATAACAGAAAATCAACGTCATTGTTCAGTGTTTGACTAATGTGCGCCTTTTCTAACAATTTACATTAAATGTTTGCATTTCCAACTGACGACACAGGACTTGTTGTTTGCTCAATTAATTTATACATTTATGAAACTATACGTGATTTTATTCTTTCTTTACTAAATCACCTGTCCAGGTAACGCAGCTGTGGTGAAGCCGTCAGAGGTCTGCGTTCACACTGCAAAGGTCATGGAGGATCTGTTGCCGCTTTATATCGACAAGGTAACTGAATGGAAAATCAGTTGATATGGAAAAACTACTCAGCATTTTTTATGTTGTTTTTTGTGAAAAAAGAGCAACACAAAACAGCAACAGTGAAGATAAAATTCATTCGCAAACACTCAGAAAAGTAGGAAAACAGAAAAATTAAACTTTGGTTTAATGATGTTCTGAATAAAACAAATAATTTGAAAGAATTAAACATTGCAATAAGATCCACACACAAAAACGATGTATTCACGAGAAATTTCTGTTATCTATGATTTTATGTTGTTTAATTTCAGCGTTTAACCAAAACTGTGTGAGTTAGAAAAGTAACAATATACCTAATCATTGACATCTCTGATTTTTAATTATAAGAAAACATTCAGCTTCTGTGACAAAAAAGACATTGTGGAGTTCAGACTTGGAAATGTTTTATCACAACAATATTAATAAGAAAGACTGATATCAGCTGGATTTTATTTCAAACTCTACTGTCAGTATGAATTTACAATAATCTTATATTAACTTTAATTCTCTTACACATGGCTGAATGAAAACTGCTCTACAAATAAAGTTTGAGTTGGTAATTCAACTCAGTTTGAACAATAATTACCAATTATCTTTATACATATTATAAATATAGTGTTAAAGAAGCCTTAGTAACAAATACTTTGTCTTTAACAGTCTGAAACTGGAAAAAATGAGTAGAGATTCACAGATTTGAATTTCTGTCTGTTTATTCATTCATTTGTGCATTAATCTATCTTCCCATCTATTCATGTGTTCATTGATTCATATTAACAGGCTGTGTGTGTACAGTCAATTTTTTTGCAGGTTTAAATGTCCTTATTAAACATAAACTGACTTTATAGCTCAGACTGATGTGCTAATTTAAGCTGCTAATTTAGAAATTCAAAATGAAAAACAGACATGCAAGGAAATTACACATAGTATAGTATTATATTTCTTGTGTGTGTATTTGAACAGTCAAGATAAAATAAAAGCAAATTCTCCCAATAAGTTTGGACTCTTTATTTTTATGAAGTTTAAGCTGTTTGCTTTGTTTTAGGAGCTTTACCCTGTAGTGACGGGAGGAGTCCCAGAGACCCAGGAGCTTCTGCGCCAGCGATTCGATTACATCTTCTACACCGGTAACAGTGCGGTGGGCAAAGTGATCATGGAGGCCGCCGCCAAACACCTGACCCCTGTGACCCTGGAGCTGGGCGGCAAGAGCCCCTGCTACATCGACAAGAATTGCGACATTAGCATAGCCTGCAGGTCCCACACACTTTTAATATTTACAATTTTTAACTCCTACTGAAAGAAAATATTTTCCTTTCTTACATCCTTCTGTTAAATGTTCTGTTCAGACGAATCACGTGGGGAAAGTACACAAACTGCGGTCAGACCTGCATCGCCCCAGACTACATCCTCTGTGACCCCAGCATTCAAGACCGGGTCATCGAGGAGGTCAAGAAGTCCATTAAGGTACGGGAAGCTCACGATGGAACCAGCGCTGGACGATACGGCTGAAAAACTTAAACTCTTCATATCAGTCGATATCAATAATTAATGACAAGTTTTCTGTCTTAAAAATCTGAAATATCGAAAACTGATAATGTGACGTTTGCTCTTTTTCAAACTGTTTTCACTCCACCACATTGTTTTTTATAATTATTTTTAAGACGTTATGAGGCTCAGTGGTGAAATCTGAAACTGCTGCTGCGCCAGTTACGCAACAGGCCGTTGCTAGGCAACCACAAATTACTTAACAGTTTGTTGCTAGGTAGCCAGGAGTAACTTTATAGCTTGTTGCTAGGTGACCAAAAAGTGAGGAAGGTAGTTGAGGTGTCACTTTGCTTAACGAGCTGTGAGAGGCTGAACAACTAAACCTTTACTTTGCCTACATCCCCCAGAATGCTGTGCAGTTCTGGATCAGTGAATTTTCCACCAAATGTTTTATCTGTTTATACTGATCACATGTCTGTTGCAATATATGTTGTTACCGATTTATTTTCCAGCGCTAATTGGACCCTGAGCTGATGGAACTTGTAACATAATTTTATATTTAAAATGATTTTTTTCCTTTTATTTGCAGGATTTCTACACAGAAAAACCAAAGACGTGCCCAGATTACGGGCGCATCATCAACCAGCGGCACTTTAAGAGGATCATGGCCTTGGTGGGGGACAGCACAGTGGCTGCAGGGGGAGATGGAGACGAGTCAGACTGCTTCATCGGTACCAAAGATCACACTTTGAGGTTTTTTCATTCAATTATAAACTAAAACATTTTTTTCTTTACATTGCATTCAGCTCCCACAATTCTGCGTGACGTGAAGCCTGATGCCAAGGTGATGCAGGAGGAGATATTTGGACCTCTTCTTCCCATCCTGCCCGTCAGCGGACTGGACGAGGCCATAAAGTTCATCAACAAGGGAGAAAAACCTCTGGCTCTGTATGTCTTCTCTGCAGATGAGAAGGTATCTCAGAGCTACGCTTTTATTAACCCACGCACAAACTATTTACAAAGCATGAAAATAAAACAAAACAACAATATAGTTCCAGTTTTGTTGATTCAGTTTAGAAATCGAGAACAGAGAACACATGATGACCTATTTATATCCACACTTTAAATCAACTGCATCCTGCTTTATTTTATTGCTAACTAACATAAAAAGTAAGATTATTAATCACCAGACATGTAATTTGATGATTTGTTAGTTAATTTGTTTTAAACTTGTGCATATGTTTTAATTTGTAACCAGGTTCTTGTTTTGTTTTTCTCTCTGCAGGTGATCAACAGAATGAGAGACGAGACGTCCAGCGGAGGATTCCTGGCAAATGATTGTCTGGTTCATTTCTCTGTCAGTTCGCTGCCTTTTGGAGGAGTAGGTAAGTCAGACACTTTATTCTAATGATTTTTTTTAAACAATTGCTTTGAGAAATATTTGTACTTTGATGTACTTTTTACCTTTACGTAAGTAATGTTATTATGAAGTATTTCTGTTTGTATTTGAGTGAAATTTCTGGATTTTCTAACCAAAAATTCACCAGATACAGTCACCTGCAGTTTTTGGTTAAAGTTTCCTTAGTTTTTTTTATTGAAAGAAACTGATTTGGACAGATTTTTTTTTTTACCTAATTTTTTTTACTTATATAAATTACCCTAACCAAAATTTCATTTAACTTTTTGTAATTTTTAAACATTAAATATGTTGCAGTAGTGTTACTATTACTTGAGTACAATGTTTTGGTTACTCTGCTAATCTCTGTGGAGCAAATGTTTAATGTACAAATATTAGAGCGCCCTCTAGCGTCAAACTTTGGATAAAATAAAACGTTGACTGAATAGATTAATCAATCATGCAAGTTTATTTATACAGCACAAAAACATACAAAACAAAACACGCCAGATGCAGTTATAAAGCCTAATTAACTTTAAAATATATTCTGAAAAAAATATACTCTGAAAAACATAGCTGCTCTAAATATAAAACCACAATACTTTAAAACAAAGTAACAGAAAAATTAACACATTGACACTTTCAGGAACTTTGTTCTGATTGCTTATGTTCAGCCTAACTTCTTTTATTTTTCGGTCAGGAAACAGCGGCATGGGCTGCTACCACGGCAAGTTCAGCTTCGACCAGCTGAGCCACCTGCGCGGCTGTCTCATCAAAAAGCTGAAGATGGAGGGAGTGAACAACATGCGCTACCCGCCACACACACCCAAGAAACTGGGCTGGGCACGCTTCTTCATCCTGAAGACCTTTGACCTGGGCTGGGTGGGCAGGATGCTGCTGCTGGCCTTGATGGCGGTGGTGGCGGCTGTTGTGCTGCAGGTAAGAGAAACACAGGACTCAGAAGGGCTCAAAGTAAAGGTGTTTGTTTGTTTTCTAAAATGTCTGTTTGTGTCATTTTATGTCTTCAGTTAAAATTCTCATGAAATATTTTGAGGTAGACAGGAACTTTTTTATCCACAATGCATTTTATTGGGATTTATGCGATGGAGCGACATAAAACAGTGCATGATTGCAAAGTAGCAGCAATAGTTGTAAAACTACAAATCTGAAAAGTGTCGTTCATAAGCCCTGTGCAACAAATTACACTGAAAAATATCCTAATTCATAAAATTAGAGTCAACTTTTTATGCAACTTTGAATTTAAATTCGGAATTTAATATTTTTTTCTTTTGTTTCAGAAATATCTCCACTAAGGACATCTTCTACTCACCTCCCGTTTCCCCCTGTCTTCCTTTTTCTGCCTGAGAAGGAAAAGAGATCAGAGTAAATATACATGAAATCATAATAAGTCAAATCATCATATTCAGTAAGATGTAGGCCATTTTTTGGCTGTTGCCTTAAATCCGTGTAGCATTTCACCAACAATAATAGAAGTGTCGTCTATATCAGTGTGAAGGAAACTGATTATCTGCGTTTGTATTCAGCATCACTACGTTTTTATTTAACCTGGCGGAGGTTTGAAAACTTGAAAGGATTTTAAAGCTTTTGAAATGAAGAAACTGAAGCTTAGCTAAAGCTAAGAAGGACGTTAGCTTTGCAGAAGAAATGTTGTTGCTTAAAAAGCTGGAAACATGAAGTTTTATCCATTTTGTTTGTGATTTTATGTTTGTTGTGCATTGACCAGGTTCTGGTTCTGGTTCTGATTGTTCTGATTACATCAGAATCACATGAAGGATCTTTTTACGCCGTTTGTGCTGAAAACTGTACTTAGATACAGTAAGTAGGAACAAAAGTGAAACATTTCTTTTATTGTACCATTAACATTTCACAAACTTATTAATAATCACAAAAATAAATAAGTCTGCTCTAATTAATATTAAAATATATTTCTACTTGTTCATTTGCTTGTGTATTTTCTATTTCATCCTACTGTATCTTATAGTCTATAACATTTTTTATTTCATATTCCATGAAAAGATTAAATCAAATTATATTATATATACATTAAAAAGGGAGAATCCAAAGTGATCAAACAATTAAATAATGTAAAATCCATCTGAAATCCCTGGAAGATTAATTTTAAAACATTTAAAAGAAAGAATACAATAGTTATTAAATAATTATTATTAAATGCACTGAAAGTAGTGCATTAATTACATATATACAATATATTAATTCAATTATCTTGCTCACATTGCATATTTATTTAGATCTGAATATGCTATTTTTGATAACTTTACACCATTTTATGTTCCTGTTCCCTCCTGCTTTATTTTTAATTTATTTTTACTTTAACCTTTTTGAACAGTTTGCAGTTTCTAGCTCAAGAGTCAAACTTCAAGCTGTGGATGAAACAAATATGCAACACAAATCAGTAGCAAATAAATGATCAATGCCGTTTTCATGAGATGATTATTAATCAATAATAAAATACAGCTTGTCGATTTTTGCCTCTGCGACTCAAAGCCCTTTGTTTCCTGCCGTCTCTCTCTCTCTTTTTTTAAACCAACACACACACACACACACAGACACACACACACGCACGCGCACACACACACACACACACACACACACACACACACACACACACACACACACACACACACACACACACCACACACACACACACACACACACACACACACACACACACACACACATCATTTGAAGCCCTCCCACCCACAAATGCTGCTCCAAGTCAGCCGATGGAATAAAATCTCACTTCTCGCCTGCTCTGCTCCCAACGATGCGTTCTTCTCTCTACCTCCTGGCTTTCCTCTACCTGCGCTCCAGGGCATCAGGTGAGACTCAAACAATGATTTAAATTATGTAAATGATAGCAATTATGACATTTTTCTGCAACTCCAAAAAGCTAAGTGTAACGCTTGAATGTGTTTTAAGACATGCTAAGTTTGTGAACTTGTGAAGAAAACTGAAAAAAAAAAATTCAGTTTTGACAGAAAATATTTTTTTACACATCTGAATCAAGTAAAAATTTAAATAAAAGAAAAGAATCAGCAATTATTGTTGAATAAAATACCAAACAATAGAAATAATGAAAGTGTGGCTGATCAAGGTGAATTGTGGAACAAACTGTCAAGGCAATGGCAAATAAAAACAATAAACTTTAATTAAAATATTCTTCATTTAACCTTTAAACTGAGATTTATTAAGAATAAAAATTTTGACAGAAATGTTAATTGTGCCTTTACATGGAGTACTTATAAATAAACTACTCAGTGTGTTCAATATTAATACAAATGTTTTCAAAATCTGATAAGGTATCCTAAATTCAAAAACTTTTTTTCTTATTTGTGTCCAAATATTATTTTCAACATTTCTAAATACTAATAACAATAAAATTCAGTGTTTAAAGTGCAATGTTTAAATGCAATAAATTACAGAAAGTCTGTGTATTTACAAATTAAAACTACTTTTGGGATTAAGAATGAAATACATGTGTGTTAGTGCACATAAAATCTCATTGTTGAAAGCTTTTTTCTTTTCCTACAGGAAGAAAATACAATAAAATACTGTATTATTTCTATAAAATGATTGTTTCCTCATGATTTTTAGGAACCTCCTGGTTCACATCATGGGTCTGTTTCAGACAAAGAAATTAAAATGAAGACCGTAAATCGTTCATTTAATTAAAGGAAACCAATTGAAGCAGACGTTTGATTCCCGTCTTTGGCTTTTCTTTGCTGCTGACTCTGACAGGTGTGTGAGCCAGGTGGGGTAAAACCCGCTTCCACCTGTGCATTGTTCTCACCTGGTGAGAACTGTTGTCCCCTTTCAAAGGACGCCATTATGGGTTAATCTGTGTCCTTGTATTAGCTAAATGGTTCTCTATTCCAGCTTTCATTCCCACCACAGAGCCAAACGCTGGAGGGTTTTTTTCTCATCAGCAACATAATACACAGCAGCAGGACAACAGTAAATGACTTTATCAGCACCTGACGGAGCGACGAAGTGACGCAATCAGCAGTTTCACAACTGCTCCTTTGTGACACAAATAAAGTCTTACACTCCTTGTCAAAAGAACATTTTTAAATCAGCGGTGGTGCTTGAGAAAACAGATTTATGTTCGAATATAATAGGAACTTATTGTTCATTAAGAAACTTATGCTTCAGTCTTTCAGGAAAATGTGCAAAAAAGAAAACCTGATTGTGCATACATGTCACATTCAGGCGCTGGAGTTTTCAAATATGACCAAATAAATTCAATATTTCTCAGAAATTATAAGATGTATGTGAATTGTTCTGGTATCAAAATAAAGGTAAGACTCCAGAGAATACTCTAAACTACAAGAGTCAAACTCATCTTGGAAATATTTACAAACACAAACACTTTTTATTTTATTGCAAAGTATCACAAAAATAATCACAAAATCCTGGAAAAAAGATGGTCAATATTATTGTTTATTTTTAAGAATTGATATTTTTACAGTTTGTGATCAGGTTTTATTAATACTTTCTGGCACAACTGGCCCTTTGAAAGCATTTATGATATTGATTTGTTCCAAAACAAAAAGTTTGACACAGCGGTTGTCGAGGTCTAAAAAAAAAAATCTATATTTTTTATGACTGAGTGAGACCAAACTAATATGGCACACAGGAAAAAATAAAAATGAATAAAAAAATACTAATAGGATGCATTTTGTGATGGTTATTTTCTCTGAAAGCATGGAGTTGAAATCCAGAACATCTACAGTTCATCCCAAAAGTTAAAGAATCATTTTAATTTTTAGTGTATCATTTTCCCTATTGATTTAACAGAAGCATCGAAATAAACAAAGCATTTAAAAAAAATAAAGACTACACGGAAACATATAACAAACTAGTGAACAATCCAGTTGCTGGATTTGTTTGTATTTTTTGTTGTTTTATGTCTGATTTCTCAAAGTTTAGTTTTTGGGATTAATCATATTAACAGAAGAATAGGAACTGTTAGAGCATGAAAGCTGACCTAATTATTTTATTAACTTCCTGGATGCTCTTTTTAACAAGAAGTTGCAACGAAAGCCCCGTTTAAGATTTTTTCATATGTGATTGCAGCTGAGTGGTGTTACCAGAGCCAGAACTGTGATGACACATGCAAAGGTAAGAAAAATATTCAGACAATAGCAAAGTAATGTAACTCGGTTTAATTCAGATTTCTCTACATTGCTAAAAAGTGCAACAAATATTATATCAAGGAACTTCAAATAGGTCCAATTCAAATCTATGGATGAATTTTAAAAAAAACAATCAATTAGCAGTAAATATGTTTTTTTAATCCTAGACATGACACATTAATTTGGTTTAAATTTAGTCTTTTTAAAGCTCACAAATAATCTGTGCATTTTAATATAGACTGACATTCAAATATTACATCAGTAGGATTCTTCCTACACAGAACCTCCAGTATATCTGTGTGTTGAACCATTTTGCTGAAACTCTTCAGTATGCAGTGATGGGAAAATAAGCTCCAGATCAGTAGTGCATAGATGCTGTTTCCTTTCTTCCAGAAGAGCAGATTATTTATTCTTAATCTGAATAAGAGACAGTGGCAGTGAGACAGAGCACTGTAAAACATTTGAGCCACATTCAGTTGTCTATTATCGTTAGTAAATTTAGCCAGTTTTAGATTTTGAACCTAAATGTTTGTGAAAGATTTACTTACAGCAGTAAGTTGTGTTAACTTTTTTATCAGTTTTCTCAAACCTCCAAAAGTTGAATAAACTACAGATTTTAGGGTATCACTTAAAAAAACTGAAAGAAGAAAAAGAGCAGAGTATTTCCCACAATGCTTAGTGGCATGTTTTTGTATCATGAGATGGAAGTGCGTTACATTGATCTGACTCCTGTTTATTATTAAACCAAATGTTCATTTTAATGCAATTCTTAATAAAATTCATCATCAGATCAGAAATTTTGTTTGTGCAATTTGAAACAAAAATTGTAATTATTCTAAAGTAAAATAAGTTTCTATTTTATCTTGATATTGTGAGTAAAATAATACACAAATGTGTGCTCTGTTTTTTCTAGCATATTGTGAAATAACTATTTGGTTTAAGTTGCAGCATTAAGTTAAAATTCAAAATTTAAGATTAGTGAACTTAAAAAAGACAACCTGCCTCTTATTGTTAAATCACCATCATGAACTTTAACTTCTGAGTTAAAACCAAAGCAATTTTTTTGTTGATTGGCAGCAGGTGGACTTTTAACTTCAAATGTTTTACAGTATGATGTGATAACTCTCTCTCTCTGTGTCTCTCTCTCTGTCTCTCTCTCTCTGTGTCTCTCTCTCTCTGTCTCTCTCTCTCTCTGTGTCTCTCTCTCTGTGTGTCTCTCTCTCTCTCTGTGTCTCTCTCTCTGTGTGTCTCTCTCTGTGTCTCTCTCTCTCTCTCTGTGTTTCTCTCTCTCTGTGTGTCTCTCTCTGTGTCTCTCTCTGTGTCTCTCTCTCTGTCTCTCTCTCTGTGTGTCTCTCTCTCTCTCTCTCTCTGTCTCTCTCTCTCTCTCTCTCAGACCCGAGCCGCTGGGCAGCTCTGTTTCCCAGATGTGGAGGTTTAAGGCAGTCGCCAATTAACATCGTGACCAATAAAGTTCATTTCAGCAGCGCCCTTCCTCCCTTCAGCTTCATCGGACACACCGACTTAATCAACATCACAGTAGAGAACAAGGGCCACTCTGGTAATGAAAAACAGCAAAGCCTGTTCTGTTCTCCTCCCTTCCAGAGCCTCAATGCTTGTTAGATTCACACTCTGACTCTGTTTCCCCCATTAGCTCACTTTGGTTTACCGCAGTCAGTGCGGCTGACAGGAGGAGCTCTGCCGGGTCACTACAGAGCCGCCCAGTTTCACTTCCACTGGGGAGGGACTGGGACACCGGGATCAGAGCACACCATTGATGGAGAAAGATTCCCCATGGAGGTAAGGGAGTGAAGGCCAGGTAAATTATAGGATTTTGAATTATTCCGCATCTGTTCCTCAAAAAGTGGCACTACTAACATGTTCATGAATGCTCTTAAAGTTAGTTATTCTTTTTGTGATTTTTTGCAATAAAATTAAAGTGTTTGTGGTACTAATTTTGAAATATTTGTGCTTATTTATGACTTTTAATTACTCAATTAAAGGTGAAGCAGCTGTTTAGTAGAAGTAAGAAAGTTTTTCACAAAATTGTCAAAAAATAAAGAAAAAAGTCATAAAAATAAAATGAAAGAAAAAGCCAAACAAAAAATAAAAAGTGACATTTGACCACGAATATTATGATTATTATAGAAATAAAATATAATATCTCAGATATTGTAACCACTCTGTAACTTATGGTGAAATACTAAACTCTACTACTTAAGTATTTATAGTTTTTCTATAAGTTACAGTTTGGTCACACTATCTAATCAGGACTATCATATTATGTGGATGTCTATATGTCCATAATAGTCATTAATGTTGAGATTTTTCTATCCTTTTTTCGCCTTTCTATGTATTTTTCCTTTTGCATTGTTGCAGTTCCCCCAGCAAATTTTACATTTTTAGTGACTTGTAGTGTTAAAATGCAGCAGGATTACAATGTATGGTGGTCACAGAATATGGTGTAACACCGGTATTGATTATTAACGCAAATATTCATTTCAAATTTAAAACGATTACAATGAAAACTGGTTTATTAGGATTATTTTTGGCAGGTTTGTGTTCTGGGTGTGACTCCTTATAATACCTTTCCTTTCTGTCTGCACAGTTGCACATAGTCCATATTAAAGAGCCTTACGGCTCTCTGGAGGAAGCAGAACACGATATGGGGGGTATCGCTCTGCTCGCCCTCTTCTTTGAGGTAACGCATCACTCTACTGCCAGGGTGTCCAAAGTGTGGGCCTGGGGGCCATTTGTGGTCTGTGGAGTAATTTTATGTGGCCTCTGACTGCAATTCAAAACTGGTCATCCAACAACTTTTGGAATTTTTTTAGGATGAGATTTAAATGAGTTCATATCTTCTTAAACTGAGAATGTTAAGTAAGACACAAAGAATTTTTCTTGAGCCTTTTTTAAATAATTTTTTCTTTTTTATTTATTTCATAATAAGTTGTGCCACAAAATAAATGAAAATTAATAAGTTCAGGGAGTTAAATAACTGTAAACATTAAAGCAAATGTAAAATATTACATGTTTTATTTATTGTTTTTGTATTTTTAATGGGGGGATTCAAATTTTGACCCCTGAATACTTTCAGCTTGGGATTTTGTTTGGACACCTTTCACACTATGCACTGCGTTTTGTTGGTCTAATACATTTAGATTGGGATTGTAATCTGACAAAATATGAAGAGCAAATGATAATGTAAACATCTTTCAAAGATCAAATTATCTTATGTTACTATTATAGATTATTGTATTTTTGTTGACTTCCTCACAGGAAACAGCAGATGATCATCCTCATCTAGATACAATAATTGCTGCTCTGGGTCAAGTGCAAAACAATGGTAAATATATTATTTTTTTACTTTAAAAGCACAAAAACATATGAGTAATGTGTTCCGGTTCAGTTACAAAATAAAAAAGCGACCTAAACACCAACTCTGACAGATCATCAGTAGATCAGGTGTTTAAATGAGCTGATCTGCCACCGCTGTCGTAGATTAGCAGTATTAGCAGCGGTGTTATTAGCTAATCTAGCAGCGGTATATTAGCTATTGCTGCTAGCAAAGCATAAAATAAAGCTATTGCTGCTATTAGCCTAATAGCTGCTAGGTTAATTGCTGCTATCTTGTTAGATCGCTAATAAGGCAGTTAGCTTATCAATCATCGCAAAATAAAGGTCTTAGGTTAGACTCAAGTCTAAAAACACTACCGGACTAAATGTTTTAGTATTTTTTTAAAAATGTTGAACCCGGAAACGTATCGTGGCGTTGTTGTCAGTTGCTATGGCAACGAGTGTGCGCGGGCGCACAACGGCCGACACAGAAACCGAGAGTAAAAAGTGGGATTGAATTGTCCTTTAACGACTTTCTGAGTTATTTTCCTCTTTGCTGTGGCGCAGTGCACTAAATTAACAATACCTACATTTCTGGGTTTAATTAGTCAGTTAATGGTATCGTTCTACTGCGGCTACAGATGGCAGATAAAAGAAGAGCCTTTTGCCCTCCAGCGCTGAGCGCATGCGCGAAATTTCCAGCTATACGCAGTAACATGCAGGGCAACCATAGGACACACATGAACTAAAGAAACAGCACCAAAGGAATTCACTATAAGTCACATCTGACAGAAACAAGCTTGCTAACTTATTTTTTTTTCTGGCTACTTCTTTATTTCTGACTGTGTTAAGGTAGCAGCACAGTGATTCCAAACTTTAGACTGAGTTATATCATCCCTCCAGCCACCGAGCTTCACAGTTACTACCGCTATGTGGGCTCCATGACAACTCCAGGATGTGAGCAGGCGGTTGCATGGACTGTGTTTCATAGGATGCTGTCAATCAGCAGTCGACAGGTGAGGAGTCACATTTTATTCTGATTTTTATCTAAAAAAATACATATATTTTAAATCTGCTAGTTAATGACGATCTATTTGCATAGGGTAGTAACGAGCTACATTTACTAAATTACACTCACTTGAGTAACTTTTTTAGAAAATTTACTTTTATGAGTATTTTACTACGCAGAACATTTTACCTTTACTTCTGTAAAAAAGGTAAAACTTGTTTTCCTTCAGCTGTTTTTTTGTTTTTTGTCAGTCTCATCTTTTCTTTCCTCTGCTCCCCAGCTGGATGCCATACTTAAGCAGTGCAGATTTTGGACAGGGCAGCCCATGACCAACATCTTCAGACCCACGCAGCCTCTGGATGGCAGAGTAGTTTACAGCTCCAAGTCAGGCGCAGCTCAGAAGAGGGTGAACCAAATGTGGTTCGTCGTCCTCTCCGCTCTGTTCATGCCAATGATCCTGATACATATTATTTAGAACATATATTCATATAATAGAAAAATCAATTTGTTTCAAATTACACAGCCTCCAATAGATGTTATGTAATGATTCCTATGACAAGTTTTCCTGTTACTCTTGAAGTAAACAATTCATACAGCATGGTTGTGCCGCCATCTTCCAGCAAAGGTATGGTGTATGTTCGGTGTTTTTATTTTTGAATAAAAGAACCGTCATTTTATTTCCATTTTTAGATTTTAAAATAAAGACGAACATTAAACTTTTACCAAAAGAAAGAGCATGTTTATATTGTCTTCAATAAAATAATACATATTGATGCAAAATCACATAAGCAAATAGAGTTCAATACTGCAAGTCTTTCAGAAAAAAACAGTATCAGAAATTTTCAGTACATTGGTATAAAATGGGCGAAGGAATGGAAGACGTGTCAACAGGCACAAAACAGTAAAAACTGGAGGGAATTTATGCAGTCATCAGTGGATGATCTGAAAACAGCTGGAAATTAAATAAATCAACACTCATGGTTTATTTGAGTGAAGTCTGTAACATTATCCTTTATTTCATAACTTATTGACCACTGCTCAGGTAAGAATACATGATCAACAAAAGTATCTTAAGATGAAAGTCACTTAAAGCAAATTGATTTCAAGCTTTATAAAGGCAGTGTGATTTAAGGTGTGAGTAATTCACTTTGACTGGAGTCTGACAGATGGAGGTCACAGAGGGAAGGTCACTGCGACTGAGTTTTCAGCCAGTTCCTCAGGTGTTCCACCTGGGCAGAGACGCTACTCTTCGATGTTCCCCCAGAAGCGCTGTACTGCTCCACGCTGCTCCTGTAGTCCCACACTGAAGACACATCACTTCCAAACAACGGGCTAAAGTTCACACACGTATCCACATGGCGCACACAGACAGAGGAAAGGAAGATTGATTAAAAAAAATATTAGCAGAACTTCTATTATTTAGTTAAACCCACAATAATTTATTCCTCTAACTATTAATTTGATGTTTCATCTGATTAAAAACATTTATGCATCCGTACAAAAGTGTAAACTACCTGACAGCAGTGAGGTCCACCTCAGTCAGTTGATTCAGGGAGACATTTTTAGATTCAGCTGTAAATACAGCTTTTCCAGAGAGACCATGGGCTTCTCTGAATGGCACCTGGAATGAGAGGAGTGTCAAAAGATAAGCATTAACAAATTATAAAACAATAAAAACTTTTTCACTGCAAGAACACAAAATCTTAGCAAGTAATTTTAGACTAGTAGTGAACATATTTTAAATCACTTAATTTAGTCTAGAAATTAGACTAGAATTGGTAAGATTTTGTTATTTTGCAGTGTTTTACAATTACTTCATATTACACAATATTGTTGGAGCATCTCACCCCTTTTCTCACGAGGTAATAGGCCAGATCTGTGGCCAACATGTCGGGACTGAGCGCAGCTTCCATTACACTCTGGTTGATCTGAAACACAAGAGAACCAAATTAATAACATTTCACTATTTAAAGAAAAATAAGAAATCTAACTTTCACAACTATCGTTTAAAATATATTAAGATAAAATCCAAAAGGATTAACAATGGTTTATAGAAGGTTAGATTCTCCACAATATGTATATCTTGCAGGAACTTTAAAAATAGATGTAAATAACATGTACAGTGGAAAAAAATGACTGATAGATTATGTTAATTTTTGGGGTCTCAACTCTCTGGATTATTTAGGTTTTTCTTTTTATGTTTTCACCTTTAGAGTCGACATGACTCCAGTTGTCACCTGCAGCACAGCATGGACAGTATCATAGCAGTCAAACATGGCTTCTTTGTCCTCCTGAAAAAATCCAGAAACCACAACATAACAGGAGGTTTCATTTAAATCTTCAAGTGAAGTTATAATATTAGAAAAGATAAAGTTTTAAACCTGCAGATCCTTGTTATATGTGCTGGGCAGACCCTTCAGAGTCATCATGAATCCTGCACACTATTACAAAACAAAAAGAGGTTGCAGAAGAACATTATGAAGTCAGACAGGACACCTGGTGTTTTCATGTGCCAAATCAAATTATTTCTGAAAGTGAAACGGCTTTTATACCTCTAATTATTTATTGCAACAGATCAAAGTGAGCATCGTCGCTTTGGTAAAGTGAATGAACTAAGTAAGCATTAAAATGATACTTCTTATTTACAGTTCATGCTGTTCTCTCTACAAATGATTATGATCATGAATCTTCATCCCTCGGTATAAACCAGTCCTACAATAAAACAAATATAAAGTAGATTTTTAACTAATCTTTTGTCTTACTCTGCCAAAGACACGACCTGCTTTACTCCTGATCAGCTCCAGACTGTCTGCGTTCTTCTTCTGCGGCATCAGACTGCTGCCTGTGCTACAAATCACACAAATAAGTGTCAGAAGATGAAGAAGAGTGTTGCAGAAGGGCAACATTTCAAAGCAGCTTTTAAAGAAAATAAGCATTAGAAGACAATAAATATAATTTATAGCCAACTATAGTTCTCAACACTGACTCTAGGAGTGACAGGCAGATGTAAGATAAATATTTTACAAAATATAATTTAATTTCACAGATGTATCCGATATGCAAAACAAACTTTTAATTTGCTTTGTAGACAGGGATAGATTATATTTAAGAAAACTTTAGCATCTTCACTTTGATACTTTGTAAAGTAAACACATCAAAAAGTTATCAGATTGTTGTGACTTCAATCATGTCACAACAGTTTATTTGAGCAATTTTTAAAACAACTTTAAACTGAAGTGAAATTGTTTTTACATCGTTTTACATAAAAGTCAATGGTTCTTCACTGGGACACAAATAACCATCCCGTTTCTGGGTAAAAATTCTTAAATCTTATTGTACTTCAGAAAAACATTTCAAAAAGTATTTTTAATTTTATTAGCCTAACTATTATAATTGAGTGGCATATTTTACGTAGTGCATGCTGAATATACCACTGGATCCAAAATGGTGAGGCCAATTTTTATAAAAGCAGGTTGTAAAAACCTTTGAAGTCAATCAACTAAGCATCCGTGGACTAAAAAAAAAAAAAGGTACATGTTAAAAAAAATGCAATTGTTAATTTCTTCTGCTTTATCTGTACATTTTGGCAATAAATAATAAGAAAAAACAACTCATACGTACTTAAGTTACATAGTATTCTAAAAGGTTTTATTTTCACCAATATAACAATGAATGAGGTAAGAAAAAATCTACAAAACTTTCATTTTTTGCTGGATTATACAGCAGGCTTTTTTTAATCAAAAATGTTTAGTCCTAATTTTTAGGATAAGTCTAAATCAGAATCTGCAGGTCAAACTTCATCGCCATTTTTTAAAACAATGGCGTTAATAGTTAACAGTTAATAAAACTTTTCCTAGATTTAATTCACATTTGTGAAGACTTTTGACAAACTGAAGCAAAAGAAACAAAACAAAAAAGAACAAAGTTTACCTGTAGGCATCGGAGAGCGTGACGAAAGAGTACTCCTTAGTGCTGTACAGCATGAGATCCTCGGCCATCTTACTAAGGTGGGTCAAACACAGTGAAGCCCAGAACAAGAACTCCGCTTTAAAAAAAACAAGTACTTTAAAACACAAATATGAGAAGGCTTCGCTTAAAACAATTGCTTATGTTCAAAGGCTGAAATATACGGTTGACATACCAACAAAGTCTCTCTGTCCTGTAGCATCCAAACTGTTTAGGCTGATGCCATCAAATCCCAACTCTACACCCAGAGAAGAAGAAATGTTCAGCATATTTTTTTATTAGCATTAGTAACACAACAACACTCAAACTGATCTGACCTGCCCGCAGTAGTTCTCTGTCGATGTCAAAAGGTGTGCCCGCGATGGCACCGCTGAAAACAGAAAGAGTCATTCTTGTTACTTGATCACATCAGTGAATAAAAATCACAAAACGGAGGGAAGCGTTTGCACTGCACCTGCCAAGAGGTAAAATATTTGCTCTTTTCTTGATCTCCAGAAGCCGCTCCACGTCTCTGCTTAAAGCTACAGCATGGCTGAGAGAACAAAATGAGAAAAGAAAAACACGGTGAACATCCATTAACATAAAAAAAAAAAAAGAAAAATAAACTCTGAGGATTTCATTGTTAAAGGGACACCTCAGAATCCAGTGGCTCCATCTGATTGGCTGAGCCCTCTGCATGTGGGTGTAACCAGGAAAAAGGACATCAATTTCTCTGTAATTCACAAAAGATTTAATGAAGTAGAGTAAAAAAATTTACTTTATTTAAACTCAAAATGGTCTTACATTGCTGCCCGCTCCACCATGGTGGAGATGAGCTGCAGGGAGTTATCTGTTAGCGTAGCGACGGCGTCTCGTAGCCACAACCTCATGTCCGTCACCACCTGTTTAAATGAATCACAACACACAATAGATATGTTTTACCTTCAGCTGACCTTTACTACAGATTCAATGATGGAAAAACAAACCTGATCATTTCTGCTCCTACCGGTGTGCAACTTCCCTGCAGGAGCACCAATCAGCTCCTGGACAAACCAGCAACAAAGAAACAATTATTTATTTTTTTTTTACATATTTTTAAAATTCATTATTATATCTTTAGTATAAACAGTAGTTTGGACAAGTTTATATACCATCCTGAAAGAGACAAGCTGTATATCACCTTAAGCCTGCGTTCGTTGGCTGTGTGAATGTCTTCATCTTCAGGTTTGATCAAAAATGCACCTTTAGACCATTCTTCAGAAATCTGTGGAGCAAAATGAGGGTTAACCAGGGTAAATGTTTATTATCTCATAGAAATTAGAATGAACCAAACTGATTCAAACAAAAATATTAGCTAAGCTGGGTTCAGTATTCCTGGTTATTGAACCTATTTGTCTTGTAAGTTACACTTTGTTAAAGTGTAACTTGTGTTTTCCAGTCACATAGAATCATTTCAGAGCACAATCAAGCAACTATGTTGATTGCAACATATAATAGGTTAATATTATAATGGAATAACATACACCATTGTTTTTATAATGAAGGTGTATATTATATCTTATAATATATACCTTCATTTAAAAATAGGTGTAAGATATTATATCTTATAATATACATCTTCATTATAAAAAAAGGTGTATGCCAAATGTGACCAACAGCCAGTTTTACTTCGTAAATTAAAATTGACTTTCTATCTACTTAAGAAGTTCTTGTTCTTTCCAAAACTGGATGTAATCACAACAATGATCCTCTGTTCAACATTTAACAAGCAGTATTTCACAATAAGTAGTTCGTATATTGAGCTCAGCAGATGCACAGTTCCACCAGGTGTCTAATTGCTGCTGGCTAGTCTGAAGGAACTGTGTTTGGGAGGGCTGCTCTGTGAGGCAGAAGCTCTGAAGTTTGGAAACTGCAGCTCTGAGGAGAAGCTTCAACTTTGAAGGTGGAGCCATTCAGAGGCTTTTTGCACAACTGAATGGTTGCTATAGTGAATACAGGATTTCTCAGACATCCATGAAAGAGTCAAAGCAGCTTTCCAGATATGATTTGAGGAAAAATATTAGAAAATGATCTAAAACTAAAAATATATAATGCCCCTTTAAACTATAATGACATTAAATAATTATAAAACGTATCCATAATTAGCTACATTTTTCAAATTCTGTAAAGCAGGCTGGATAGTCGGGTTTTCCAGTGTTTCTTGCACTGATGAAGCAAGCACTAGTATGAGATGGAGTAATGCAAAAACCGCCCTGAATGAAAGAGCCAGCTGACAATCTGTCACATGACAGGTGTCATCACGTGACTCTATTGTGTGCAACTCGCTCAGCAGGAATCCTGCACAATGGCACATTCTCAGTTGTCATCTATTAAGTCCAACAGACAGCTATGCACAGAACCAATCTTCTGCAAGTTTTAACATAGTAATAGCCCTGTCCAAATGTTGAGTACTTTTGTTTGTCCTCATAAAATTTCCCAAATTTTGCCACATTACAACTATAAATTGCAGTATATCATGTTGGGATTTTTAGTTGTCATATTTTATACATAAATATGTGAAGGGGGTTAGAGTTAGGCCTGCATCGTATTCACCTCCTTTATTATAATAATCTATTATAAAAACAGAGGTGGGTAAAGTAGCCAAAACATTGTACTCAAGAAAGAGTAGCCCTACTTCAACACATTTTACTCAACTAAAAGTAAAAAGTAGTTGTACAAGTATTTGGTAAAAATGTTACTCAAGTATTGAGTAACTGATCAAAATAACATATTTATGTATTAAATATTTAATAATTAAAAAGTACATAACCAGACAGACCAAAATATAAAGCTATGTGGAAAATTTGGCTAAAATTTTAAAGTACCAAAATTACAATAATTTATATAAGTAACAAAATACAACAAAATCAGGAAAAAATAAATGTTTCCAAGTTAATTTCTTGTCATAAAAAACTTATGAAACTTTAACAAATACTGCAGCTGTGAGTCTGTGTCTGGTAATTTTTTTATTCAGTTGGTGGAAAATCTAGAAACTTTTCTCAAATAGGAGAGACTTCATAATAAAATTACTAAAATAAAGGTAAAAAGTACAGTGTTGTAAAAAACACATTTAAAAAATAATTTTAAAAAAGTTACTCAGATAAATGTAATTGAGTAAATGTAACTAGTTACTACCCAACTCTGGTGTCCAATAATTTTTGGTTAAAACAAGCTTGTTTTCTATTTAGAGAACAGAGTATCCAGAAATATTATTTAAGTTATTGCCTAACTCTGTCTGTTATAAAATCCAGTAACGCAGGTCCAGCAGATAGTTCATCCATACCTGGTCCATCCCCTGCAGTATTTGCTCCATTTCCTCCGTGCTGACCAGATTCGCCTTTTTCAAAGCTTTGACATACGCTTTGCTGCCTCGGATATCAGCATCCCACATCCTCTGGTCATAGGTGATGGACGCATTGAATTTCTCCATGATTGGGTCGGTATCTCCCACGAAACGGCCTCCCCACAGCTTGCTTCCCTGAAGAACAAGCAAAAGAGCAACAAATGGGGTGAAAACGTTCAGCTTTAGTGTGTCAACAGCTAGCTATGATTTAGCTTTAGTGTGTCAACAGCTAGCTATGATTTAGCTTTAGTGTGTCAACAGCTAGCTATGATTTAGCTTTAGTGTGTCAACAGCTAGCTATGATTTAGCTTTAGTGTGTCAACAGCTAGCTGTGAGTTTCGCTTTCGGTGAAAACAACAGCGTGATTTGATAAAGTCCAGCTGACAACATCGGAACAACTGTTGGTTGTCTCTTCAGCTGAATCGTACCTCGGTGTTGGCCATCTTTTAGTCCTCGGAGATTTGAAGAGTCGTAACTGGGAATAGTTGTTCGCTGTGGGAAGGAAAGAAGCCAAGGGTCCGTACAAGTAGGTGTCGCTTTAAAGGGCGTCAGCAGAGACGTCAGTGCGTCTTCTGTTGCTAGGAAACAGTCCGGAAAACAGGAAGAGACGCAGGTTTTACTTATGCAGGTTTTATAATAGTTTTGATGTATTGTTAAACAATATATTTTCTATTTAATTTCTGCGGAGCTATCTGTATATTAGCGAGTCGACATTTAAACAAAATTTAATTTAAAAAAGATTAACAATCGCAATACGCGTTTATTTATGTATTAGATTTTTTTTGTTTTAAAAATGAAGAATGAAAATTTTCTCCCAACATGACAGTGTAGAGAAAAAGAATAAATGTTTCCAAATGTAGAGGTTTTGTTTTTAGAAATAAATACAGTTAGAGTTTTTGAAAAAAAAATATTTTCCATGTTACAGAGAGGGAACAGCTTATTTCAGACAGCTAAAATATTTTGTTCATCCGTCATAACTCTGGCAAATAAAGAGCAAATGTTTCCAAATCTATATGATTTGTTGCCAATAATTAGAGGAATAAACTCAGTTGAAGACTTTCTGATTCCATATTTATGGAAACATAAAATGTCCATGTTCAAAACATGGAAATGATACAATTTAAGCAAATTAACATTAAAACTACAGCTTACAGTTTTTTTGCTGAAAATAACTGACAGATTTCAGATTAGGTAGATGTACTAAGAAAAACAAAGACATAAAACACAAAATATGAAAAAGTATGTGTAGGCTTCAACAGTAAATGTATTGCTATTGTAACCAGTGACAAGCTCTCAAACGCTCTTCGCCCCAAGGCTCAAAGAATTCAGTAAAAAAACTCTCTGTAATAGTGGACACCATTGAACCAGTGTCAACCAGACAAGGCACCTTTACTCCAGCCATGTTCACTTCAATATGTGGGCAAGAAGCAATTAATGTAGGTGCATCTGCCGAACACAAACCATTAGTTGAGCCTATAGAAGCCCCACCCGAGCTGTGGCTCTGCAACGCGGTGGGCGCTAGTTTTCCGAAGGCTGACTCCCCTGACGTGGCCCTGGCAAAAATGGCTGATGGAAGGCAACCTGTGACCCCCCACACTCCCTGGCGATATGTCCAGGCTGTTGGCACCGTCAACATATGATAGGACGGCGACGTGGAGAGCGGCTGCGCTCTTTGGCAGTTTGGAGGAGGGTAATGCTTTGAGTAAGCCGATTAAGCTGCTCCTGTTGCTGTTTTAAAAGCTCTTTTAACTCTTTGACCTCACCATGAGTGGGGCTAGCAGTAGCTGGTGACCCACCATGGACAGCAAACTGAAAACTGGGCGCTGAAGGCAGAGAATTACTCCGGCCTCTCATACTAGCTGGCAAACCCTCTAATTCCCACCTCATTGCCTCACCTCTAACATCAAGCAATGTTGCTGCCGGTTTCAGACGTACATACTGTTTTAGCGCACGACGGAGCGCACCATCAAGGACATATTCTATGAACTGGTCACGCAAGAGAACTTCAGCATTAGGCATATCCCTAGGTGCCTGCGCTTTTACTTTCTCCATGAGGCTCATCAATGCGAGGGAGAACTCTTGCAACGTTTCCCCCTCTAATTGCTTTCTGGAGAAAAAGGCCTCCTGTAATGCAACATGCGACTCATTGTAGCCATAAAGCTCCTTGAGGATAGAAATAATTTTTGCCGGATCACCCCTTTCCTGACTAGACCGATATTTAATCTCATCCCTGGCCTCACCTTCTAAATGGTCATACAAAAAGAAAGCCTGATCTGCTACTGACAAATTTCGAGCCCGCATACACGCCTGTACTTCCTCAACCCATTCACTCACACTAATCCCCATCCTCCCCCTAAACATGGGACACTTCCGGTCACGTGGGATAAACACTAACCTGTCTGTTACTTGGACGGTGGGGGTTGCAGAGGCTGAAGACGGCCCAGCACTGGAGCTAGATGTGGAAGGTGAATGCTCTGTACGCAGCTTTTCATTGTCAGCCTTCAATTGAGCAACCAAGTTCCTCAATTCAAGTAGCTCTTCCTCCATGACTACAAATGACCAGCTCAAAAAAATGAACCGCTGCTGTTTGTCCTTAGCACACCAAAAGAATAAAGATTACTGCTCAAACATCAATGGCACAACATACAATAAAATAGTGAAAAAGTCTCAGCCTCAAACTGTTAAAAAACAGAATCCTGCTCACAGCGCCAAAATGTGGTGGGACCGGTGTGGTTCAATAGAACTATTTTTAAGACAAAATTGTAATAATTTATCCCCAAAAAGTTATCTTCAAGGCACACAGGCCGCTACATATGAGGCTTGAGACAATCTCACTAATTTCAATAATTTTATTTATTACATCAGTTCATGCTAATCAATAAAATACACTAAGTTAAAACCACTCACATTAAATAAATAACAGTGACGGCTCAAGTCAAGGGTGGCAGTGCAGTTCAGGGTAGTGACCTAAATAAAAGAAACACAGCAAACAAAACAACAAAACTAAAGAAAATTGTGCAGCAAATCAAAAGAGTACCACCACCCGGAAAGTCCACCATCAACACCACGAACTGGCCTTTCCTGTCAAGATAAAAGACATTCAAATTACATGAGTCATTTCATAATTGTCGTTCAGTCAACAATCAATCAGCAGCAATTGTCAATTAAGAATTCGTCCTGGGATGCCACGCCACAGACGCCACTCAAGAGCGGCAGCAGAGTCCGTCCAAGCTGGTCGCCAGTCCGAACCAGCCAAGCTGGACAAAGGGCAGGAGTCAGGTTCACGCTGACCACGACGGCTGGCAGAGAGCCAGCAACCAGAGCGACAAATGGACTGCCGACGGACAACCAAAATAACAGCTGACATCAACCAGGAACCACAGGGCAACAGGCAAACAGCCGGCCAAGGACAAACAGCAGCGTCTATAGCAAACATAAGTGTTAAACCTCAAATCTAAAAGCATGCAGGTAATGAGCTTTTCACTTACCACAAGCTCTATGTGTAGTGCCTCTGGCTGGGAGGAGGATCAGGCAATTTACACAGGCCACCTAGGTGTACAGTTAAAGCTAAGCGAAGGCTAGGCTAACAAACAGCAAGTATAGGAGCGGCCTCTTACCAGAAGAAGGAGCGATCAACGTGCACACCTGAGTGTGCTACTGGCGCTGCACAGCAACAGAGGTCTAAACCGGAAACACTTGTTGACCAGGTGAGGGAGGGCCCCTTATATACAAACAGCGCCACAACCAATTAAATGCCAGCACTTGTGTGGTGCGTTCAAAACCTCCAGGGCATACTGCCAAACTATGAAAGCAAAAAAGTACAAAACAGATATCAAAGACATAACAAATGCAATAATATTCAGAGGTATACAGCATTCATATGTGTTTACAGCTTTTCTGATCGTACTCTTGGATATAGAGCGTAAACGTAGTTCGATTTCCTTAACCAAAACAGTCAAATAAAGTGTGAAGTATTGCTTGAAATTCTTGTCTCGAGTGAACGATTTAAGGTAAGCTTGGCTCGTTTTTCACCGATCACATATTATATAAATTCACGAGAAATCGGTCAGAAGCGACGCAATGCGCGCTCTCGAAACTGGGGGAACAAATTTTCACAGGGGAACAGATTTTTGCACAAAACCTCTTCTCCAGGGCTCTGCTAATGAGCTAATAATATTGGAGCCAGGTCTGCTGAAGCAGAAATAAATCTAAGGTTGTAGGATCCTGGCCCTTGATAATTGGAGTTTGAGTTTATTGCAAAGTTTATTTTAAAGCAAAAAACCTAAATATTAGCTTCTTAAAACAAGGTAACGGGATGTTATTTTCCTCAGTTTTTTAATTAGCTAACTTTTGTTCTTCACTTTCAAGGTGTGTTTTCCACACTTTCTAGTAATGAAAGTATATATAGTTATCATTACCCTAATTTTTTTTTTTTTTACTAGAATTAAAAATATACTTTCTTTTGTTACTTAACGGGAAATACAACAGCGTCACCAGCCTCACCAGGTTCCAGCAGCTTGCTCATTCCTGACAAGGTTAAATGTTTAATCCATACTTTCTTCGTATTGTGACCAGGTCCTTGTACTGAACAGTAGCTTATTTTAATGATAGCTACAGCTTTGAGTAAAAATGTTTAGAGTCCTGACTTTGTTAATCCTGTTTAGTTTAAAATTACTTAGGACAGAGAACAACTGGAGAAGTTGCAAACAAAAATCAGATGTTTTAGTCAGATTATCCTTAACTTTAAGACATAAGAAATTAATCTGTGTAGTCATAATCGTTAATAAACTTGTTATACAATCAAACCTGGAAAACTATTTTTCCAGGTTTGATTGTTTTCTGTTTTCCAGAGAGAGAAAAAACATGGCCAACCAGAAAGATGAAACTCCTCTGCCGCGTACTGTATGCAATTTTTTAAAGATTTGATGCAATTTATTTTCTATTATAACATTTAAAAGATAAGTCAACAATAATATAGTGCAGTTTGGCACAGATGGTTTGAATGTGAAAAGCAGTTTGACAATAGGCTGTAAGTTTATCTACATTTTTTCTTCTAATAGGACCAAGAGCTGCATCCGACTCATTCGTTTTTGTGGAGAGGGAATGAGAAAGATTTCAACAGCATGACCTGCAATAAAGCTGGGACTGTAGAGGAATCACTTAAGAAAAGCTCCAAATTTACAAAAATGGGAGCAAAGAACAAAGAGAAAGAACTTGTTATTGTAAGGGATGGAAAAGCCATCAGTCCACACTTTCCTTGCAGTTTAATTAAAAAAGGAGACCGTCTGACTGTGAAGTATGTAAAAGCTGTAGAGCCGCCAAAGAAACCAGTTGGTGCCTATGTTTCTCTCTGCAGGAACAAACCGCATTTTAACCTTGTAATATTCCATGTGTTGACAAAGGGAGGTAAAAATATAGTTAGAATCATGAAAAACTCTGCTCTGCGAGCATTCCAAGAGATTTCTGTTTATGCTTACAAAGGAGAGCGAGTGAAGGCGGCTCTGAAACGAGATGGACGTCTTCACAGCTCCATATTTAAGAAGAACTTTGTGCTTTCTAATAAAAGCACATCAGTTAAAAACGGAGCTTTTTAACCCTGTTGATGAGCTTAATGATGAAACATTCCAGATTATTTTGCTAGACAAGTCAGATCCACCACTGAGTTTGCCTGGTAGCCTTGATGAAGCATATCTGATGTCAAGTGAAGACCAGGGTCATTCTGAGGCAGAGAATAACATCACAATAAAACAGAAATTGGAGCCCAATGAGAAAATGACATCAAGAAATTTAGTGGTGGAAATACCCAATTCAAAAAGGATGCAGAACCAGTTATTTTTCCAGTTTGAGGAATTTGTGAAAGGCATAAAAACTCAGGTTCCTACCCTGTCTCATTTGCAGAATCTGTTCAGTGTGGATTTTGGTCAGAATTCTCAGATGTGCAGTGAGGTGAGAACCATGAAAAGACTGATGTGTCTCAGTGATTCAGTTTGTCAGGTGAGAATAAATGGCCAGCCAAACAGAAGTGGGTTCCTCTGGTTTAGTAACTACGTTCTCACTAACGGCCACGTTGTTTAAGATATTTATGATGAAAGGAGGTGCAGGTTCAATGAGAGAGTCTCTGTACACTTCTCTTATGAAAGTGTGGGCCAGGCTGATGGAGAACTGGATGTATTGGAGCTTGTTTGCTTTGAGATGAACCCTGATGTGCCCGGTTGTGACTGGGCTTTGTTAGAGCTCAGTGCTCACCAGAGCCTCCTTCCTGGTGAGCCTCTGGTGAAGCATATTGGCTTTCTTCCCAAAGATGGTGGAATTTGCATCATTGGGCATCCAGATGGAGGAGTGAAGAAAATAGATCCATGTCTGATTGTTCCCTCACAAAATCGCCTTCAGGTTGTTGAAAGACACTGGAGGGAGAATCAGGGCCCCGTTCAGTTCGTCACTCAATCTTTCTTTGAGGGTATAGCAAAATCTGTTCACCGAAAATCTTTTCTTACGTACAAATCCTGCTTTTATCATGGCTCCTCTGGTTCTCCTGTTTTTGATAAACACTGCAATGTTGTGGCGATGCATTCAGGGGGGTACATGTACCATTCTGCCAACGGTGAAACCAAAAGTGTGGTAGAGTTTGCTCATCCTTTGCTAGACATTATGGAGCGACTCATTATCTACATGGTTGTGAAAGAGAAGGTTCAGGCATTGAAGGAATACTTGGCTTTCAGTTACACTCAGCATGAAATCATTATGGAAGGCGTAAAGAAGCTGGTTGAAAAAGAAAATCTCATAGAGTTTAAAAATGCAGTCAACAATTTGATCACTGTTAATAATTTTAATGATTTGGCTTTGAACAAATTTTTGAAGTTCTTCAGTCAAAAACACGAGCATGTCTCGATGGAGATTTCCTAAATATGCCATTGGTAAAGTGTTGACAAAATTTTCTTACGGTTTTATTTAGGGATCTGTTTTCTCATTTTTTTTATTTTATTATTAAACAACTTAAAATTATGTACACATGCTTTTTGTAATGCCTTCATCATAGGAAAAAAGCTAGTGCTGATGTTTTGGAAAAAATCAGAGGCTCCATCAGTCAAATTGTGGCTGGAGGAACTGGTAAGGCTCTCATCTGGAAAGAATACGGTTTTCACTAACAAATAACTTAAAGCGATTCAATAAAACTTGGCAACCCCTTCGACAATATATTGATAACTCCATTTTAAAAAATCTGATTTGATTCTCGGTGTGATAAGACAAGTCCTAGGGAATGAGGAGGTGGGTGGGTTTTGAAATGCCCTTGTTTATGTTACCTTTGTTTTGACTTTGTATTGTCTTTCTGTTTTATGCTCACATCAAAAAGAGGATGGATTTGTATTGTTTGTTCCAATCTTCATGTCTGATTCCTCAATAAAACTGTTTGACAACACATGCTTTTTGTAGATCTGGATTTAGTTTTTTTGAAGGTAAATGTGAAAATGGATCAAATATTATAATCACTTATTTCATTTAAAATTAACTACAATACAATATGAGAAGGAAATAAAACTCTATGTTCTTCCATTTTAAAGTACTTTTAATACTGTGTCTTATTTGGGGACTTGCTGGGTAATAAAATGTCAATGAATGAAATACTCATTTTTCAAGATTTGCTGCATTTCTTTAAATATATTAGTATTAAACAAATATGTATTGATGAGATTCTTGGATATCTTTGAAATACTTTTAAGGTAAAATATATTTTTTATAATGATTAATTTTACATTTCAAAAACGGTTGAAATGACTGCCTTAGTCAATGCTTTTTGGAGCTTATCTACCAATTTTATCTAGACTAAAACTTAAGTTTTTATCAATGTTTTAGTAATCGTTTTATCTAGGGTCAATTGTAAGTAATTGATTTTCAATCCGTCTTTATTACAGAATTGAATATAGTGTACTGAACTGTACTGTATTTTCAGTAGACAGCTGAAATTAATTTGAGCTGGAGGCTTTTTCATTTTTAACCAAAGGTCATTTATTACATTAAATCTATGAAATTTAATATATTGAGTTTATGGATTTAATGCATGTATAAATTTTGATGCATGGTGTTTCTATGGATCCATTTAGGAGTAAAAAGTACAGAGAGAAGGGGGTAAGCACAAACCAAACACGTAGCTTTAAGTCAGCGGAACGTTTGCGCAATTCTTTCGTTTCCTACGGACTCTTTTTAATAACGGATCAAAGCGGCGAGTGAAATGGAAGTGTAAGTTTGTCTTTTTTATTTTCATTTATTTTGTCTACGTAGCTATTTGAGTTGCAATTATATGTTACTAATTGTACAAACTAACGGTGTAAGAAAGTACGTTTATCCTCAGGAAAACATTTAACACTGTATTAATGCTAATTGCGCTGGTTTTAAATGACTGGTTTATTTGAGTCATTTTGGGTTCATCTTCTCAGATATTTGGCTTTTTTCTAGCGGATTTAGCGTTGAATTTTAACACTAAACTAAATTTACTCAAATTAAAGCGAATTTTAAGATAAAACAAATGGCCACTTATAATAAACGTATTCTCTCTGATTAAATCGCATATTTTACTAATTACATGTGTATTAAGTAAAGGTCAATTTATTTTAAAAGCACCAAATTATGTAAAACAATGTCATCTCGATGCAAACTAATTAATATCCGTTATACAGATTGCAGTTGGGTTTTATATCAATTTGGATCAATGAATCCAATTGATTCTAGTACGGTCCAATCACATACACAAGTTCAGATCGCATGATTCACATCTTAAAATATTCAATTCAGATTTAGTTGGTTTAATATTGAATGGTAAAATGTTATTTAGCTAAGAAGGTTCAGTTAAATATGTCTTAATTTATTTATTTAAAAGAATTAAGGCAATAATAGAGAAAAAGCCAGAAGTGCTTTCTATGGAAAACGGAGAAAATGGTTCTAACATCTGTGTTAGCTGCTGTGTTTAGAGAAAAATTCAGCTAAAAACAATAACTGATCCATTACTACCATTTATATATGTAAAACAAAGAGGGTAGTAGATTTAGTGATAACAGTAACTTATTCAGTGGCTTTGTCCAGGAAGTAAAAAAATAATCCCAGTTATGGAAAGTACATAAAAAGTTACATGAAAGCAACGTCTAAAACAGAACCTGGCTCTTCTCCATGTTTCTGTTCTATATGAAATTTCATCTGACTTCTTAAAAATCAAGACAAAGTAATTCAAAGCAGCTAAAGTAATTTAAATAAATCAACAAAACTTGTGTATTTAGTCAGAAAAACCTGAAGCATGAAATAAATGAACTGTTGCGTGTTTGTGTCTTCTCAGGAAAAATGCAAATGCTGCCATGCTTTGCAACTATGAGGTGAGGCAGCAAGTCCCTCTTAACACAACTTTGTTGTTAAAGCATCACATTAGCTTCTAAGTGGATTTTATGTTTTCTTTCATGTTTTCTAGGTGTTCAAACTCCTAACAGACCTCAAGGAGCAAAGGAGAGACGCCGGGAAGAGCAAACACAGTGTTGGGCAGCAGAACCTCAATACTATCATGTATGAGGTAGGCACACGCCTCTGTTTTTCTTTTCTGTCTTTTCTTTATCCATAAAAAGCATGGAAGTAGCGTCCTCTGTCTTTTCCGTCAGACTCTGAAGTACCTGTCGAAGACGCCGTGCAGCAGACAAAGTCCTGAGATCGTCAAAGAGTTCCTCGGCACCATGATGCATCACAAGCTCACAAAGTCAGTAAGCCCTGAAATGTCTGCAGAGTTCTGTAGAGTTGATTAGATGCTTGCTGTCTCTTTAAGTCTGAATTTCATGTGTTTCCTTGCACCAGGGCAGAAAAACTACAACTGCTAAACCACCGACCGCAGACCGCAGTGGAAATTCAGCTTGTAAGTCTTTTTCACCATCATAATATCTGTGTAAAAGCTTTACTTACCATAATTTAATATTACTGACGCCTTTACATGGTGACTCTGTCTGCCAAATCTGCTGCTGGTGTTTGATACCAAAACTCTGTGAGACTCTGTTCTTTTATTTCACAAAACTAGTTAATTTCAGAACTAGTCCTGAGAAATAATTGGAAGTACTTTTCAAATCACAATGGCTGTTGCCGGATAATGCCGGGACATTAGCAAGATGATTCGTTAGCCAGTTTATGGACTTACATAAATCATGGAAAGTAGAAATATTTCCTAAAAGCTTGACTTTTGTTTTTAGTTTGAAATCAAAAACCTTTGAAGTATTGTTTCAAGCTGCTAGACAGGTGGAAAATTTTGGAACAGGAAAATATGAATATGAGGGAAATATTTGTATTTACAAAGTTTCCTTATGGTGTCTAAATATTGTGTACTTATATTCTTTCTTTTTGTGCCTTTCCCCCTACTATGCTTCCTTTTGTCCTTCTGCTTCCTCATATTTTTCCTGTTTTTCCCCCCAGGTCTTTCTTCCAGCTCCCTCCTTCCATGACTGTATTTTTGTTATGTCCTTCCTTGGGTTCTTCTTTCTTTTTCTACTTTCATCCCATGTTCTTGACCTCATTTTTTCTGCCCTTCCCCTATTCCTTCATTTTCTCATGTTTCTTGACTGCATTGCTTTCTTGTGATCTCCTCCTTATTCTTCCTGTTTCCTTCTATCCATCCTTCATTTTCTTCATTTTTTTACCTTTATATTTTAAAACCCTTTTACACAATTTTGGGTCTACAAATTGGTTTTCTGTAGAAAATGAAAATCCCTTAAAACTGTAAGGTGTCATAAAAGGCATGACTAAACGTGGCCCCCACTTTCTTGTTGTGTTGAGATGGTGGAGGAAAGTGAAGAGCGGCTGTCGGAGGAGCAGATCGAGGAGCTCATCCAGAACGTGGCAGATGTCCTCCCAGGTGACCCAGAGGAGAAAAACGTAGCTGCGGTTGCCGATGCGGAGATGGATGAAGACGGAGAACAGTCGTGACACGGTGACTTCCATGTGAAGAACTGGTTTCATGGCTAAACACATTGCAGAACTTTTCACACAAAGACAGGATGCACAGAGACTACAAGACTGCAGTTAAAAGCTGAGTTGTGAATCCTGTTTATTCAGCTAATATGGCAATGAAAACAGTTGGACCAAAACGTGCTCACTTTCACACAGAAGAGATTAATCTCTTTAAAACATGTCAGTATTGCACAGAGAAGTGCTCTCAAAAGCGGAGATGTTCAGTTTTATGTGTCAAATAACATTTATGTAACCTGCAGCCTTAAACATAAATTAAATAATTTTGTGCCAATTCAAAAGCACAATATTCATTTTTAATTTTGTTTATATTGATGGGAGATGGAACCTTGTATCTCTTGCTTTCCTTTCATGCTTCAGTTTCAGACTGAGGATAGTTTGTGTTTTGCTGCTGTTCTCTTGCAGCAGAGGAAGAATGTTCAGGTTGCAAGTGTGAAGGTTTCTGCTTTTTTGGCTTCCTGTTTGCATATCACGTCAGTTTCCTGTTCTTACTCAGCTCCACAAAGAGTTGGTATACAAACCCACAGTAAAGAGTAGACTCATCAAGAAGAAGAAAAGTAGAGAGGACATGAGTCTACAACTTCAAATAAAAAAATGTCTTTGTGTAAAGCTATAGAAACTGTAAGCTTCACATGTAAGATAGAATATCTTTTCATTTGTCATTGCATCCCAACAAAATCTCATAACACAACTTCAACTTCTTCTTAGTAACATATGTGGTTTCCTTATTTCAGCAAGAAAATTGCTCTTCATACTTTTCACCCAATGACTGCATGATTGCCTTATTTATATAGTTTTGCCTTCGACTAATATGTTTTGTCTGGTTGTGATAATTTGATGAGCCTGTCTGTAGAATAAAACCTTGAAAAAGTAGAGAACAGTTGAAGCACCAAACATTTTTTTAAATTCCTTAAACAGCTCCAAGAAAACTTGGAGATTATTTGATTTGTTTTTGGCTCATTAAACCTAAAATACTAATACAGAAATTACATTTTTCAAATGACAGATATGAATTTGAATCTTTTTCTGAAAGAAAATAAAGTATAAAGGTGTGCAGAAAGTGCTGCTATAAATTTATGTTAAATTTCCATATAATTAAGCCACATTGAAAAAAATGCAGCTCTAATGATGAGCTTTGTACATTTAATGTTTTACTTCCCTTACCATTGTGCTCATTGTTAATAGTGACAAGGTGTGATTGAGTCCTCTTCCAACCTTTGTCATATTAAACATTTTAATTATTTCTCTTATTGTGCTTCTGAAATAGTTCTCTTTTCTGTTTACTAACAATGACCTTTAATGCCACATCTCTTGGTAAACATAAAGTCATAAATTTCTCGAGAAAAGTCCCTCAAGAAATTTATGACCGATAAACTGAAATAAAGACTAATAAATGTGCTTCAGCTACATTTCTACTTAGAAAACTTGTTTATGCAAAGGCAATAAAACAAGTGGTTCTTAAGAAGGGAATAAAAGTTTACAAATTTCAACATGTCGAAATTTGATATCACAAGAATTCTTATTGAAGTTCTTTAAGGTTTTAGGTTTCTTTCAAGACTGATAAGTGATTCTCTCACCATTCAGGCATCGTGTTTCTTCTATTCATTTCATTTAAATGTACTGCTGTATGCAGTACGAGGAAGCACAGAGGAAAAGAAGTTAGTTGTGTTTGCCACTTGAAACCAGGGATTTAGCCTGATTTGACCTCATTAAGCCAGCTTAAACCTTTCACACATTCCACGGGACACATATAAGAAGACAGAAATACAGAAACAACTCTTCAGAAAGGTTAGTGGTAGAAAACTAGAACTCCTCTTGAGAAAAAGAGAGAAAAATATTTCACCAAAGGCTTCTGTTTCTAGTGTCTTGCAATTATTTGTACTCCTTGTTCACAGTTTGTTGCTTCACTGCATTTTATTATAATTTCATGTTAGGAGAAGCTCAAACAAGTTTGTAATTAAGTGGAAGGAAAATGGTGCATTTTTTGTTTTTTGTTTTACCAAAAATATTTAAAAGTGTGGAATGCTATTATGCTTAGCATAATTAGTCATTAGGGAGGCATGTATTTTGGGGTATGCTGCTTTTTTTCCAAGTTGCTGCATTTAACTTAGAGTGGATGGACTTCGACTGGAATATTATAACAAAAGAATGGTTTGGTGAAAAGCATTTCTGTTTAGCTTTAGCCATATATTATACCAGTTCAGAATACTTCTCATAGTTACATTGATACTTATGAATAAAATATATGCTTTTACAAGGCATTAGTTATTGCATGTTTTGAGAAATATTAAGTTGTTGAAACTTATATAATCCAGAAATCACAAGACATTTCAGAGTTTATCTAAACATCTTTTGTTTTCCGTTTTGTTTTATAAAATGTGTGACATTCAACACAATTTCCTGTTTGCTTCACAGTATTTTGTGGTTGTTGTGGGGACTCAGTATAACTCACACATGTATTGATACAACCTTGAGTTGCAAAACAATTCATTTCTCTGGATTTAGGTTAAAATGAAGGCAGGAAACAGCACCACAGCAGTGGCAACTGCTCAGAGTTCACAGACTGGGATGCACAGAGTTAATAGATTGGCTGCAGCTCATGTAATCCCAGTAGTATAAAACTATTTCATACTCAGTCTCAGTGCATTAACATAAAGCAGCAGTAATGTGTTATTGACTTAATGTTCTCTTGGCTGGGCCCAGCCATTTTGTCTTTTTGACAGCATATGTCTACACCAGTTGTATGTCTGTCAATATTATGATGCATGGTTATTGTCATCCAGTGTTAATAAAAAGGTCACTATTTTATTATTTTATGTGAAACACTGTTTCAGTTATTTATGCCTCTCATTATTTATCTAAAAAGTGCTTATTTGATGTTTTATTTATTGTGTTTTCACAACGTTGCTTAAATGTTTTGGTAACACTTGGCCTTCTCTAGAAGGCTTTAATTCCTCAAGAAGATCCTTGTAACTTTAGAGCAAACCAAAAATCTGTTGCTAATGAAAAGATGGTTAAATTAAACGTGGCGGCTTTAACCTCCAGTAAATCCCTCACTGTGATTAAATTTCCCCGGTGGGCTTTCGCTGAAAGCAAACCAATCGATGTGGTAAAGTAATTTTAGTCTCCAGTGGTAGAAAAAGAATTGAGCTGTCAAAGAGGCGGAATAGCCCTTTAACGCTTCCACCAATCACAGGCAGTGTTACAATCGAGCTTTTGCAGTTAGCCAATCAGAGGCGAGTTCCCTCTGCTTCGTGTTGCTCGTGTCGACAGTGTGTTTTTTTTTTTTTCCCTTCCAACGGTAAAAGGCTTCTCGACTTCTCTATGAAAGTTCCGCCGGGATAAGCGTCGAAACATCGAGTTATTCTCTCATTTAATGCCAACATGTTGTCAATATTGCCGCTGTGACGTGGAGCGGCTAATAACCGAGGAGGGAAAAGCGGGGAAATTCTCGTGAGGACAACCGCCGTGTGTCGGGCGTTTCTTTTTTTATTTTAGATCGAGGTCCTTGTCCGTTTCCTCTTCGAATTTTCGGCAGTTTCACGGACGTTGGTAAGTTGACATGTTTATCAATTTTAAGCCGCCTTTGGCTTCAGACAGAAGGAGTTCGTTCACAGCAAGTAGAGGAGGGTAAATGGCGCTGAGAGAGGTGGGTTTACAGGCTGGTGTTTCACCTGGTTCTTTGCGGAATCTTTGAGATTCAGGGGCATTTTTAACCAGGCCAGATGTGTAGCTGCTGGTCCTGGGGCTGCGGGCTCCGGGTACCGCTTGATTTAAAACTGGCACGCTTCTTCAAATCGCTGTTGACTTGTCTTACTGTCAGGATCTGTTTTTCATACAAAAGTCCTGCATGTCTCAGCAGCAGATGTTTCTACAGTCGTCTGAATTTAAATACGGAACCTGCAAACACCAGACTGACGGTGAGGAAGGAAAATTGAGTGGAAGGATGCAAGAAACCGACTGAAAAATGGGATTCTGATGGGAAAACAAAGATTGTTTTAAGTGGGTGTTTGATGAAAAGAAGGAAACAGAACAGAGTGTGGGAAAGAAGAAGTGTATGGAAAGAATGTAGAAAGGAAGGAAAATGACTATTTCAGGGAAAAATGGGGGGAGGAAGCTTTATGGAAAACCAAATGGGATTGAAGAAAATGATCATGACAAAAGAATTAACAAGGCAGGAACATATCACATATGTGCATTAGATAAATGGTAGGGATTGGTTACAGATCCCTGTATTTATCACATTGAGAGACATTGGAATATTTTTCCATACTTCATTTTAGTTCTCCATACTTGTCCAATTATGGAAAAAACTGATATGATCCTGCAATTTTCCACACTTTTCAAAACGGCTCAGGATTCCTTTGTTTATTAAGATCTGTATGTGACAGGAAGGAAAAAACAGTTTTTATAATGAGAAAACATAATGGCCTTTATATGAATTGGTTTATTTTTTTTGAATAAATTCTGATAAATAGTGATGTTGCACACACAAAAAAGAAAATACAAATGGTTTAAGAAACTATATATGCATCTATGGAAGCAAATAAAGAAAATTGTAAACACAGGGAATTTTTTACTCTTACAATGCTCAGTACATGTCTTCATTTAAAACATGCCTTTGCTCTGACAAAAAAGAAATTCTGTATGCATCTGTCAAGCTGCAGATCTAATCTTGCTGCACTCTGCAGTTTTACAGACTGCTATGATTAAAAGATATATTTATGTTCTTAGCCTTTAGGTTATACAAATGGAAGGAAATCTAAAGGGCTGTTCTGCCCATTTGAACGTTGGCAGGAAGTTGGCTCTTCTATCACCAGTTCTTAGTTTCTGCTTTCTTAAAATTGTTTACCATCCACCACTTACGCCATGACCTGTTTGCAGACTGGGATCCCAAGTCATCACTGTTTGTTTAACTGATCTCGTTGGTATTTAATGATCAGATGTCTTTGTGGCTTTTTTAAAGCCTGTTTGTACACATTGTACTTGCTCACAGTCGTTCCACTTTACAGAAACCTTTTTCTTATTAGGTTGCTTCCATTGGGTGGAGTTTTGTGTCCTTTATTTAGCTTTAAGTTAAATTTCTGAAGAGCAATTGTGTTTAAGCAACTTGTGCATAATAGCCTTTGTAGTTAAATTGTTTAGAATTCAATTGATTTTTATTTAAAGTATGTTATAACACAGAAAATGATTAATTTTAAGTGAAATTCAGTAAGGAAAAATTAGTTAAAACTTGCCTTGCACATCCATGTTAGTTGCATGTTGAATAAAAGTAAGAATTAAAAAAAGACATTAAAAACTCAGAGTGCTGCTCATAAGGCCTCGTCTTGGGCCTCATCCAGATGTTTTCTGCTTTTGATCTGATGGCCAGAGATTTCTTCTTCTTCTTTTTTTTTTTTTTGGCAGCACAGGGTCGTTTAGCTCCACGTGGCAACCAGATGTTAGAATCTCACCACTTTGTGTCTGAAAAAGATGGCAGGAAAAACTAACTCTTGACTTGCAAATTATTTTCCATACTCGTCAGGGGAAGTAGGTTAGATCAAGAAATGTTCCATGCACATTGCAGAAATGAAATGGAGAAGTTGCAGGATGTCTTACTTTGTAAGTAGTAACCTGATCTAAATCTGGCATTACTAAGTGTTTAAGTTTGACATCATTTGTCAGTGAGAAGGAAAACATGACAGCTTTGTAATTGGTAGCTTTGGATGTGTCGCGGCCTGCCGCAGTAAACTTTGATATGGCTCGACAGTCAGAGGCAGCAAAATAGCAGCTTTAAGAAAACAACAATCCTAGCTTCATTTCAATCCCTCAGAAACAGTGTTCCAGTATTTCTGCCAAAACAACGGTTTCCACGACTCCCTGCTTATGGGTAATAACTTACTCATGCTTTGGCTATGTTTTAGAGCTCTTTATTAGAATTGTAAATTGGGTAATTAAACCTACTGGGTTACTCAGAAGGGTGTCAAACTCATCCTGAGGTAATCTCTCACAGTGTAAAGTCTTGATAAAACTATTCCAACTCATGGTGTAAAATCTGTCTCTGTGTATGTTTTAGGTTGGAGTCATGGTTAGGCGACGCGGCTGACAGGTTTGGGCCCTGCAGTCGGAAAACGCGCCATGACGGCTGTGGAGGATTGAGGAAGAATCCCAGCCTACAGCTTCTTCAGCTTCACTTCCACTCATCTCTGTTGGCCTCTTGATCTAATTATGTCTAAATGACTTGGGTTAAATTTTAAGCTGTGGATTCTCTCGCATCAGAATCCATCTGCACCACCCAAGTTTTATTTTATGTGTTCCTGATTTCCAAAAAAAGACCCCAACAGCCATGCGAGGCAGAACCAACATGCTTCTGGGCTGCGTGCTCCTCTGCTCCGCCTCCCTGATCTACCTGGGCATGAACACTATGGACTGCCCTCGGAAAAGCCACCGCAACCACTGGATGGCGCTCAACATGGCCTCGGGCAATCAGAGTCTGCCGCACTTCCCGGAAGACACGCCACTCATCTTCATCGGGGGTTTTCCTCGGAGCGGCACCACGCTGATGCGCGTAATGCTGGACGCGCACAGCGCCGTTCGGTGTGGAGAGGAGACCAGGGTGATCCCTCGCCTCCTGGCTATGAGGGCCACCTGGAGTCGCTCCGTCAGGGAGAGGATACGCCTGGATGAGGCCGGCGTCACTGACCAGGTGTTGGACGCAGCGGTGCGAGCCTTTCTGTTAGAGGTGAGTGGTCCGTCTGAAACGAGAGAGTCTCAAACACCCTCGTGTCCGTAAACATATTGGATTACAAGAAAACCTCAGCACAATGTCAACGTGTTGAAAGAGTTGTAGACTTTTTTTTAGTTCTGTGAAAATGTGGATTTTAAAAAAGGGGCAGTATCATGTAAAATCAACTTTTTTTTATCGTTACAGTATGTTCTAAAGTTATTCCCTTATCTAAAACATGCCTGGAGTATTGACTTGATTCTTCCACGCATGTTTAAGAAATCCTTTAATCTCCCTGGCAACCATTCGGCTGTGCAAAACGCCTGGTTGGTCGTAGCTCCACCTTCCAAGTTTCAGCTCCTCCTGGGAACTGCAGTTTCCAAGCTTCCAAGTTTCCAACTCTCCCACTCAGCTCCTTCAGACTAGCCAGCAGCAATTAGCAAACACCTGGTGGAACTTGGCACTGAGGTAATCTCAGCCTCTGAGTGCAACTTCTGAGTGCAGCACTGGTAAAAACGTTGTCAAAGAGTTAATAGAGGAGCCATGTTGTGTTGGTTTCCTGAAGGCATAGTTTCAGAAAGAGCAGGAGTTTTTAAAGAGACAGGAAGGCGTATTCTTTGTTATATACAGCATTGTTAGAACAGCTAAATGTAGCATAGTTACTTGACTATGCTATAAAATGACACTATGCACCTGTAAAACACGTAGTACTGCCTCTTTAAATCTCAGAACCGCACCAGGCCTTAGTGTTCGACCCAGCTTCAGTCTGACATTGCAAAATCTCTCCGTCTCTGTCAGCTTTGCACAACTTTGCAAAGTTGCAGAAATTCAGTCAGGCTGTGTAGATGGTATCTGTGGACCTATGTTTGTAGTATTTCCACAGATTCCAAAATTTAGTTTAATTCTGGTCTTTATCTGAACCTTTCTAACACATTTAATGGTTTAAGTTAATTGGTTCTGTTGTAGCTCAGGCAGTGGTTAGGATCATTGCCCGGCTGGAACATGAAGCTGCTCTGTAATCTCAGGGTTTACAAGACTTTTACAGATTTCTATTTCCTCCAACTGTAGGAGAAAATAGTTTTCCAAAAGATTGTGGAGATATTTATACAGTGCTGAAGATAATTCAAACTAACTATCTACTTTATTGTACAATAAAATATTTTATGGTACTTTCATGAACAATAAAGTACAACCCTGTTTTATTGTAGGGTTGTAGTTAAATCTCATGGCTGTACTGAATTGTGTTGTGTGTGCGCTCCAGGTCATAGTCGGTCATGGAGAGCCTGCACCTCGCCTTTGCAACAAGGACCCATTTGCGTTGAAGTCCCTGTCTTATTTGGCGCGCATCTTCCCCAAAGCCAAGTTTGTCCTCATGCTGAGAGACGGACGGGCAACCGTCCACTCCATGATATCTCGCAAGGTAAGCTTGTTTTCTTCCTTGTTTATTTTCACCGGGGTTGGAAAACTTCTTCTATGGCTTCTATTTTGCAGGCTCATATTTCCAAGCTGGCACATCACAAATTTGTGCTGATGCTGCACTCTCTGTGGGGATGTTAGTGGTTAGAGCGGGAGAGTGAAACAACGTTAGCCATGTTTTCTAACAGCAAAGCAGAATCTTTAGTGAACTTTTTTTTTATTGACTGCTTGTCTCAGGTGACCATCTCAGGGTTCGACCTGAGCAGCTACAGAGACTGTCTGACCAAATGGAGCAGCGCAGTGGAGGCCATGTTCAGCCAGTGCCAGGCGGTGGGGGAAACGCGATGTTTACCTGTCCGATACGAGCAGCTAGTTCTTCACCCTGAGCAGGAAATGAGGAACTTGCTTCATTTCCTGGAGCTGCAGTGGGACGCCTCGGTGCTGCACCATGAAGAGCTGATTGGGAAGGCTGGCGGCGTTTCGCTGTCCAGGTGTGTGTTTGACACGTTAATGCAACAAACTCTGACATGTCTCATCATGCAAGTGTGTTCTGTTTGACCACAAATATTTCACTTAGAACCGTATTCTTGAAATGTAGTTTTGCATAAAAAGTGTTTCACTTCTGGTGTGGGGACGCAAGCGAAAGTTTCAGAGGCAGAGATCTCCAAACCTCAACTTAAAAAAAGTTTATAAAACAGCCCACAAGCTGTTTGTGCATCATTGACGAGCTTCTTGTGAGAAGTTGTGTAGATGTGTGAAATGACCTTAAAAGTCTAAAACTTGTGGAAAAAAAATTTAAAAATAAGAATGGCTAATTAGTGACTCAGTAAGACTCAGACATGCTTAAAAAGAACGAGTGTAGCCGCATTTTAAAGGCAACAGGCCTTTCATTTTCTGTAACAAGGAAAGTCGAGATAAACAGCTGGCTGTAGGCTGAGGAGGAGAAACAGGATTGTTAAACTCACATTTTCATGGAGTACTTTTTCCACAGTGCACAAATTTTAAAGTACCAAATTAAAATAAGGCAGCAGTTTCAGCTCCTTCATGCAGCTGTGGGACATTTCTGCTTTCTGGGATTAATTTCAACCTGGTTTAAAATAGTTTTCTTTGTTCAGCTTTTTAGATCTGTTTTCATTTTATACGTCAAAATAAATCATTCAAAACTCCTGAACTTAATGTGATTTTTACTTACGCGGACCCACTTTTTACATTTATCTTGATTTAAATTTTTATTTTTGAGAAAGCACAGAAACTCAATCTTTTCTTTATGATTTAAATTCAGATGTGTGTGAATAACTCGGAACACAACTCAGTGACTTCCTTTACTTGTAGTTTTTGATCTAAACGGATTTCCATGTAACATCATTGGTCTCGTCTCCCACGTCTTTGCAGAAGTATCTTCACCATCACATGTCTGCAACAAAGCTTCTCTCTTTGAGGTTTGCAGTCATTTGTTTATGCAAAGCTATTAGGATCAGATTGAGCTTTTATTCTGTAATACCTCTATTCTTTTCAGCTTATCTCTTGTGGCTTTGCTTGGAATTATGGTTTCATGTGTCATGACCCGGTTTGGACCAAGCTTAGCTTTGCCACAAAAAATTACTCTTTCTTTTGCACCTTTGGTTTGATAAATCACTGTAATAACACATTACATGCATCACTGATGCATATTGTGTCAGCTGCTGTCTATTTGTAGTGATTGATTTTGGTGCAGAATGATGACCCATCAGTAACTAATAACCACTGAGGTTTCAAGCTTAGGCATTATGTTACAATATTTAGGTAGTAAAAATGTTCAAGCATGTCTATTATATATTTATGTGGGTTTGGTTTTAGAAAATTGTTTTGAATTAAAATGCAGCTGCAGTTGGGAGGATTTACGTTTTCTTCTAAAGCAGCCTAACCTCTCAGGGTCAAGCGCAGCTTGGCGACCCCCCTCAGCAGACTTCATTTGTGCTGCTTTGTTCACTTGTTGTAATTCAAGCGGAGCATCTTTCTGCCGGGCAGCCGTTAAGGGGATTTGGTGGGAATCTGGCCGCCGTACCATGCTAAAACCAAATCTGTTATTTAAAGGAATTAGGGCGCATTCAGGGGGAATTGGCTCTCTTATTCTTTATTACTTATGCAACATTTACTCAGACAGATGTTTCGTAATCTTTTTGTGTGCTGAAATGACATGGAAAGTGAAATTCCATGTTGACTATGGATTTTACTAATTTTAAAAATTATTTCTTCTCAACTTTCTTTTTTGTTCTTTTAAAACGGGTACATTTTTTTTTAGCTAACTATTGATTTTTTCTTTTACTTTCTGTTTGATTTGAGTTGCTACTTTCACTTTACAAATCTTTAAAAAAAAAAGTTTTGCAGACATTAAAAAGCGTGTCCAGTTTTTTTCTCTTTATTTTACCTTTTAGGTTTGCACACCTGATGGCCAAATACAACCTGGCCTGAGTGTGTAAAGAAAGCTGTTCTTTTTTTAAATTTTTTTTATCTAACACAAGTAATTTTGTTTGGCTTACGGTCGACTTTTACTCTTGCAGCATTTTTTCTTTTACTTCCCATTTGGTTTGAACTTTTTTATGGTTTGGAGATGCTGTTAAAAAGTCTGATCAGTTTTTCCTCCCCTTTTCTGGTTAGTTTCACCTTTGCCCTGTCAGACCCATAAGTTGATGGCCAAATCCAACCTGACCTGTGTGTGTGTGTGTGTGTGTGTGTGTGCGTGCGTGCGTGCGTGCGTGCGTGCATGTGTGCGTGTGTGTGTGAACAGGGTTGAACGCTCCACAGACCAGGTGGTGAAGCCAGTGAACACTGAGGCCCTCTCTAAGTGGGTGGGAAACATTCCCAGCAATGTGATCGACGACATGGCTGAAATCGCCCCGATGCTCGCTCGCCTGGGCTACAATCCGCACGCCAACCCTCCTGATTACACAAAAGTGGATCCCATCACGTCTCCTTTTAACCACATACAGGTAAGGGACAAGAATATTTTGTTTTCATTTTTAAATGTTATTTTGTGACTGAAATTTCTTTATAAATTTTGTACACTTTTAGTAGCCATGGCTTCAGAGAATTGCTGGTTTGTTTCTTTTTAAAGTAGATGTTTTTCCATATTTGTGTTATTTATTTATACTCATATATGTGGTTGTTGATCATTCATTTGAAACATTGTAAATAGACTTTTACGCAATAAATCAATTAATCGCAAGATAAATTAAAATTAGCTCAATAATTTTCTTTTGCATGATTTATGAAACTTCATTTATTTGTTGTTTCTGTTGTTTTTCTCATTTATTTTGGATTTGTAAAATGTCTTCCAGTTCCATTGTTAAGTATTCATTAGAGTTTAACGTTCATTGATGTTTGAATCTTTAAGAGGGTGAACTTAAATGATTATGCCCTTGCCAGTATATTAGTGTTTATTGCAATAAATTCTGGGACAATTTATAGAGCTAATGTTGAGTTTAGGTCTTTTACCAAATAATATGACAGTGATAATAATATGAATATAATAATATTTTCTTTTCAGATTTAGTTATTATGATTGGACAACTTGTGTTTATATTCAGAAATAAATCTACATGTAATCACATAATTAAAATGTTATTTCCTCAATCTTCTTTGGTCAAAACCAGCTTTGAGGACAATCTTCTCTAAAATTAATCAAATTTCTGATTTTGAAGATGACTCTGACAACTGCATGCTCTTGTTTTTTTTCCTTTAAATTTCTTTTCACGTGAGTGAGAAATGTTTCTGTTCTTCCCTCAGAGAGAGAAAACAGCAGCAGACTCTCCTCATCCCAGTTAAAGATGGCAGCTATGTGCCGCCTTACGGCCGCACCTTGAACACAGACTTTCATTCTCACCTCACAGGGAGAACAGCAGCGCTGCAATTACATTAAATTCATCTCAAGACTTGTTTACAGTTTCCATTTTCAAAGACTGGTGGACTATCGGATTGATTTGCATTTTAAATGTGAGCTCTTCACAGTGAACTGTTTTCCACAGATTCTTGACGCATCCCATCACCTCCTTGACAGTGTTTCAACTTTTCTCCCAAGTTCATCGCAATGTGAATGTGTATTCAGACCAGTAACTCACTAAGAGCTCAGTCAGTGGTTGTCAAGCATAATGACTGTATATTTTTCAAAATGTACTTTTATTTTGTTAATAAATTATTTTGGTTGAATGGTCATCAGGCATTTTTGATGGTTTATTACAAGACAGACCTCTTTCTAACAGCATTATTCTTATTTCTTCTGTCTATAGCGCCCTCTTGTGGTTCTTTAACAACACAGCACCTCTGAAAAGAGTGTCAGAAAGCTCAACAGAAAAAGCTTCTTTGTGCTGTTATGTTTCACTGTGAGCCATTTAGACCTGCACATGTAGCTGAACATTGTGGTCTGTGGATGGGAGCAAAGCAGGGTCCGTGTTTGGCTCTTCTGTTGGCTTTTTCTGAGCCCAGATGCTTCTGCTGCTCGATACGTCGGCTGAAGAATCCTCCGAACTGCAGCTGATCATGTGGAGGAGACATCTGGAGAACTGAGAGAATCACAATGAGGGGAGAAACTGTACAGACAATAAAGATGGTAAATCTTTTCAGTTTCAAATCTTTTGAGTTTTACTTCCTTTTTTTATTTAGTTTCAATCTTTTCCGTTTCAAATCTTTTTGTTCAATTTCCTTTCATTTTTTTTCTTTTGTGCAAACTTTATGAACTTTATAGAAATTCATGTCAGTCACCCAAAGTTGACCAGGTGTGCCCTCCTACCTGGTTGTTGAGCAGCACACATATGACCGGATTGAGAATGGTGCTGGTCTTCGCCAGCAGAGCGGGAATCAAAGCAGCCGCAGGCGGCACCGCTCCTGGGCGTCCAAACGAGGCAAGCATCGCCACGACGCCGTATGGAGTCCAGCACAGCAGGTAGCCTGTCACCATGGCGACCACCATCAGGAGGACCCGACCCTCGGCCTGCGACTCGTTGAGACCAGCCGCCTGGTGACACACGAACCACCGCTGGTGAATTGAAGGAAAGATCGATTCATCACACAGAGGTTAAAGGTCAAGTTCTAAGCAGACCTGTCTCGTCACGCCTCGGACCGCCAGCAAGATCCGGCCGTAGCAGAAGAACATGAGCAGCAGGGGCAGGAGGAGGCAGAAGATGAACAAGCAGATGATGTAGGAGCGAGCCGTGACGGAGCGGCACTGCCACTGGACCGAGCAGACGGTGCCGGGACCCTCTGGCCCGTAACTGCCAAGAGGCGGGTGTGTTAGGAACCAGATAATCACCAAAACGTAGATCTGAAAGTTCACTGGACAGTTTTTTGATTTGTATTTAGTTTAATCAAACATAATCTGTCTCTCAGCCTGTCACAATCACAAATTTTGTTGGGTGATAATTTGCTATTGCAATAAACCATAATATTGCTGTTTTGATACCATATTCAAGTCATAAAATGATAATGGCATAATAGTGCAAGAATACATAGTTTACATTCTAATAAACTTTTAACAAAAGAATATTCAAAATAAATAACGGATTCTTTCTGTAATTTTTTGCAATAAAATAAAAATGTTTGTGGTACGAACTTGGAAATATTTGTGCTTATTTATGATGATAAATGCAGTTTTTTATTATTAGCTGTATATATCATGGACAATAGCTGACATCAGTTTAAGCTGAGGCAGCTGTTTAGTACAAGTAAGAAAGTTTTTGACAAGTGTTGAGAAAAATCTCCAATAAAATCCCAATTACTAATGCAAAAAGTGGGGATTTTCTGATTTTGTATTAATTTCCATGATAACTCTCAAGAACCTGGAGAGACTGATTGGTATAATTTGGCAGTAAGCAGATAAAAACAGCATCAATTTAATTGATAACATAATATTTAAGCTCACTTAATGTTTAGTATGGAATCTTGGGGCCACATAAAAAGCTATTGCGGGCCAGATTTGGCCCACTGGCCTTGAGTTTGACACATGTGGTGTAAAGTGAGAACTGCTGGGTTAAATACAGCAGTAATACAGACCTGCTCCAGCCCAGCAGTGGTGGCAAAGTCCAGGCCAGTGAGTAGAGCCAGGAAAAGGCTACGGAGAGTCTGGCTCTGCGATAATGTGAGGAGTTGAGCTGGGAGCCGCTGAGCAGCATGGAGTACCGCTCAAAAGACAGCAGAGAGAGAGACACCAGAGAAACAACTCCTGGCAGGAAGGCAGGCGCACAGTGGAGAGATCCATCAGCAATACGAGAACAAAACCACACAATAAGAAGAAGTTGGGAAATTTGACTACTCTACATATTAATCAAAATAGTAACTTGTATGAAAAGTATTGCACTTTAAACTTGGTGAACTGATGGACATCTCAGTAAATGGGCTAATGTTTATCCAACCGTTTTCAGTATGATATAAAAAGATATTCTTTTTTTCATACACTAGCTTAGAAAATAAGTTAATTTGTTACATGTAGTCAAACTAAGTTTGTCCAACTTACTTTTTTTTGTTTGTTTGACATGACAACTTAATAAACTTAATGTAGAGATCTGGAAAAATTAAGAGAGCTCTTAAAATTGACCAGTTTCTCTGATTTAACTTTTTATATGTTTGAGTAAAATGAAAATTGTTTTTATATTGTATAAACTACTGACATGTCTCTGCAATCACAAGCAAAAGTTAATTTAATTTTTGCTTGAAAATGAGAAACTATCAGAATAACAAAAAAGACAAAGTGCTTTCAAATAATGCAAACAAAACAAGTTGACATTCATTTAGAAACCACAATACTAATGTTTTATCTCAGGAAGAGTTCAGAGTTCAGATATTTGGTGGAATAACCAGGAAGGTTTCGGGGCTCAGTGCAGTGGTCTCCATTTTTTATCAGAGCTGTATTTATTTGGTTAAACTTAATTATATTACTTGTAACAAATTAAATTCTTTTTTTAAAATGATGGATCATCTGTTTTAGAAGATGGAGAGAAAATAGAAAATAGATATTTGCACTAAGAACTGCATACCAAAATTACTTGGTAAGGTTTTGTGTTTTTTTTTTTTTTTTTTTTTTTTGCAGTGTAGGAAGTCTCCAAAGAATAGTAAATTGTGCATGTCGTAGCTGTATGATCACGCAGGATATAAAACCTTCCAGTTACCGAAGAGCGCGTTGGAGAAGCCGTACCAGCGGCACCCAGACGACCCGGTCGGCCACCTGCCGCGCACGCTGGCCGCGAAGCTGAGCGGCGTCCCGAAGAGGCAGACCAGCATGTCGCTGACGCTGATGTTGACCAGGAGCAGGTTGGCTGGAGTCCGCAGTCCGGGGTAGCGAGAGAAAACCAGCAGCAGCAGGAAGTTGCCGAGGATGCCCAGGACCAGGATGAACCCGAGGGCGACGGCAACCGAGGTGTGAGCCGCCCGGCTGAGAGAGGAGTCCGACCCGGGCGGGTTCTGCTGAGTGGGGATCATCATTGCGCTTTAACCAGAAAACACTTAAACAGCAAGATAAATGGTATTTCCTGAAGAAACTTAACATATAATGATGTTGTATTCAGCCATAGCATAAACCACACCGAGCTGAAAAATTATCAGGATGAATGGATGAAGGGAGGGACAAAACTTTAGAGCTGCTGCCAGTCCTTACTGTCCCACTTTTTTATGACACTTATTTAATTAATCCAATCTACCATTTATATAAATGTGTGGCAAAATCAACTGCTATCGAGAAAAGGGATGAGGAAAAATAGCTCTTTCCTTATCAAAAACATGTTTTTAATTGTTCTGGATGCAATATGGCACAGCAGATTGGAGACCTCAATAAATGAGCCAACTCCTCCATTATGCAAGTTTTGGCTGACTCAGAGGGTTGGCCAAGAATGCTCACACCCATGAGCCAAGATACCGAGGCATTTGACTAATAAATGATCACACTGCGCTTTTTGTCTCATGAAACTCTTCACTAAGTGGAGTAGATGGAATAAACACTTAAAGTTTTATAAATTTAACCGTGTGTGTGCATGTGCGTGTGTGTATGCATGTTTTCTTTTTCTTCTGACAGTAGAAAATGTCTTGCAATGCACCTAAAATCTAATACAGTCATTATGTGAAAGCCAGCCATGGTCCAGGAAGCAGTTAACAGGACACCGTGGGTATTATCTTCATGGTGGACGGCTCTATGTTTTCCCACATTGAGCCATCCGGAAGAGTTTATTCAATTGACTGGACATGCAAATAAGAGATGCTTTTTACAGGTACAAGTCCAAAGGAACAAAGCCTGCTAGTGAGCAAACCCAGAACCAGAATAACATAATATTTATGCAACCACACTGCAGCCATGGTGATGGGGAAAAAAAGAGAATTTGTATTTCATATCAAAAAGGAAAAATACTATAGAAATGTGGCTCAAATATTCTTTCTTTACTTGAGGATTGGCAAAAAAAAATGTCTCTCACTCCAAAATGTAAAGCATCTCATTGTGGTTAACTCCACTCGAACTCATTTTCTTTAAAAATAGATTACCCCCTAATGACTTTCAGGGTAATAATAGCATCTCAAGTAATGAATGAAGGTGATGAACATCTCATGGGGGAAAAAGGCTATTTTGGAGCTCTGCACCTTTTTGGAAACTTAATATTAACCATGGGAAAATATTCCATACAGATGCTTCTTTGTGTATTTCATTGGTCATAAAATATTTGATAAATGTTTTCTGTTTTTTGTGGTCATTAACGGAATAAATTAAAGTTGGTGGCTGCAAGAAAACAGGGTTTGTGTTTTTCTTTTTTATGGCAGAGATAGATCATTTATTGAGGGCACGATTGACAATTTACTATTTTATTATCTGGTGGTCATCTGCTGAAAGTGAAACAAGTGGATTAGGGTTTCCTCCACACTGATATTAGGTTTCACTAAACTCCTGCACTCCAGTTATGTCAGAAGAGTTCTTGGATATTCAAAATCAATACTTTATTGATCCAAACGGATAACCTCAACATGTTGATCCATCGTTTGCCCTCCAACATATCATTTCCTGTTCTCCTTTTAGTGAAGCATCGTGTCCGTTTTGTATTTCTTATCTATCTTCTTCTTTTTTTTTTGAGGACCAAACTCCAAATCCAGTGTACTGTACTGTGTGTAGTGCATCATTGTGGCATATCGTGTTAAAATTTCCGATCTATGAAGAATTTCCGATCTCAAGTTCTTCAGAGTCATTGTAGATAGTGATGGTTGGCAGGAAGGATCTCTTGCAGCAGTCTGTGTTACAGTGAATTTGAAGAAGCCTCTGACTGAAGACACTTATCATGCAGGTCACCATCTTGCTATTCAAAATATTGAAACGATCCAAATTCTGGGGGAGGATAAAACTGTAATGAAAAAAGATTGTGAACTCATCCCTCAGTCATTTTGACTTTTGAAAATGGATAAGAAGGATAAAAAACGTGTTTAGGATACAACAGACGGATGAGTACGTTCTAACAGCCACCATTATTGCCACCCATATATAAACACAATATAATGTAATTTGAATTTGCTTGGAAAAGAACATTTTCAAAATATAACAGACTTAAAGAAAAACAATACTATGACAGTAACAACAGTACTATTGTTATTGTCATTAATAAAAGGAAGATTTTCCGTTAATTTCAGGAAAATTACCCTAATATAAAGCCAGAGGGACTATTGATCCCGAATAAATTGCATCTTCAGTCTGGGAACGGAGCGTACCTCTTGACGCTGCAGTGACGTAGTCAGAGGCCGTTTCCGTAGCAACTGTGGCTGGTCCGTTACCCGCAGCGGTCGCTGTTCAGATCGGAGCCGATCGGTGAGCGGAGAGGAGCGTTTTTCTCGTCAGTTACCGGGATTCCTCCTCTGGGTTGCGGGGTGTCGAGACACGGGGGCGGCGCAGTATCGAGGTGGGGAGCCCGCAGGTCCGTGCGGAGATGCTGAACATGTGGAAAGTCAGGGAGCTGGTGGACAAAGCGTGAGTACCAACCGAGATGGAGGCGGAGAGCTAACCCGCTAAGTGGCCCGTGAGCTAACCAGTGAATGAGCGGCTCTTACCGGGCAGCATCATTAACTTTTATCGCTGATGGAGGAAAGAATACGGGCCTTCAGCTGTTAGCTTTGACCACTTGGCAAACTGCCAACCTTGTCCCATAAATCAGCATGTCGTGGCGTTTTCATCCTTGTCTGTTAAGGCATCATTGTAAAGTGAGAATGTGTTTGTTGCTTTCAGTTAGCTAATTCTGCCATAAGCAGGTCAGGTGTTGTTATCCCTGAGTGCTGCTGCAGCAGACTAGCTGTCCCACCCCGGTGATGCTCTCCATGCCCGTCCAGCACTTTGCACACCTCCAACAGGAGGGAGGCTGATTGATAATCACGGACATATAACCCGCGGAGCATGTTGTATTCTCAACATTCACATTGTCCCGTTGAGGCCCACAGAAACGTAGCATGCTGGCAAACACACACTTTAGTAGGACATGTGTGCCTCTAAACACTTGATATAGGTTTCTGAATGTAGTTATTACAGTGTAACTATGCAGGAGGAAGAAAAGCTTCCTGTACTCTTTGTTCCTGCAGTTGCATACATTAACTTTGGCTGAGTAAAACCAAAACTAACCCAAAAGTGTAGGTGCAACCATTGAGGTTTCTTCAACTCTGTTTCTGATTCAGGATATGGGGATCTCTACTGGCATTTAGTTTGTGACTCTTACTGCTCCAGCTAGTGTAAAAGAGTGACCGTAAGTCCAAAAACAATAAGAAGCTCGTCTTTAAACCAGATTTGGAGTTCAAATAAATCCAAATTTCGTTTGCGTAGTTTTGTAAAGTTTATTTCCCTCCATGTTTGTGGATTTATAACATATTTCTGCAAGCTGCAATGCTAACTGTTAGCTTTTACAGAGGATTATAATGTTTTGAAAATGGATCCATAAGGAAGGATAAATACATTGCTGCACAATATCAAGAATACATGTCATTGTGATGCTACGACAATAAACATTTTTTAAAGCAACAAAGGAGTGCATGTATTTGGTAAACTTACAACTAAGCCTGTCGCAATAAGCAATTAATTTATTGCATGATAATTTCCATTTGCATGATTTAATGTTTTTCTCTTTCTACCAAAACCTGGATGGCAAAGGTTTCCAGTATGATGCATTGTTTTTTTGTGAAGGAGAATTTTATTTACAGAAGCTTCATAATTAATTTTATTTGTTGTTTGGTTTATTTATTTGGAGTATTTAAAACATTGTTTATTAATCTTTGAGAATGTGTTCCTGCGTTATTATGCCATTGCCACTTCATTACTTGAAAGTGTTCTCAAAACAAGAACATTATCGTTTATCGCAATAACTTTTGGGACAATTTATCATCCAGCAGAATCAGTTATCATGACATGCCCACTTGCTACTGATAGTAAAGACAAAAAGTACTAACTGGAGTTAATATTAAGACCAGAAATGGCAGAATACAGATGAGGGAGTAGATGAAGCTGCACAGGGCTTGAAATGGAATAATAGACAGCAGCTTCCATCAGCTGTTGGTTGTGGCTGGCTGAGCATGATGAATACACTCCATTATTGACCTCCCTCCATAGAACTAGCAGCGGAGGCATTTCCTTTCCAGCATATTAAGAGTCACACTAACATAAAGCTTTCTGCGATGGCTGATTACAACAGTTAAAAGTGGCTGCTGCCTGGGATAAGTCATTGATCATTGTTGGTTTTCTCTTGCTGGGAGTTTGGCAGGTTTCAGAGACAAAGAGATGGGGAGTAAGGGAGGAAAAGAAAAGAACTGCCTACTGTGAACAAGCACTGAAAGAGAAATGACAGGCGTTATTTTAAACTGATGATTCCAGGATTAAATTGCTACCTGAATAAGCACTGCATATGAAGGGATTGACTTTGTATGTACAGGAAAACAGAGAGTAGAAAGTGAAGTACAGGAAGAAAGAAGACAGGAAACAGCACATCTGTGTTCACCTCCCTTTGATGTACAGACTTCCTCTTTTCCCTCTTTGTGCCTCAGAAAGCTTCTGCCTCTTTGCCCACATCTGTTATCTGATAAAGAGTTCAGCAGCACAAAGGCTTTTCCAAAATGTATTTGTTATTCAGCGAAGCAGGATTCTGTTTGTCCTCAGACAAAAAGCTATTTTCCACCATTTATAATTTGTGATTTTGTGTTCTGAATGAGCTGTTGTAATAAGCCAGTAAATAAATTTTATTTGTATAGATGAAAATCACAAGGTGCTTCACAGTAAAATAACATGAAATAAATACAAATTCAGGTTTTTGCTCAGTCTTTTGAAGTATTTTTGCTTATCTTTCTATGTTAAGGCAAATAAACTGTAATGCATCCAAGTTTTATAGTCATACTGGTGATTTTAACAAGTATGAATGTTTGTGTCACAGCACTAATGTGGTGATGAACTACTCAGAGATCGAGTCTAAGGTTAGAGAAGCTACCAACGACGACCCCTGGGGGCCCTCTGGACAACTAATGGGAGAGATAGCCAAGTAGGTGTAAGAACACACACACACACACGCACGCACACACACGGTCATGACATGTTTTACTCATGAATGCCAGCAGAATGACCATAAATGTGTGTGTATGTGTTTATAGAGCTACGTTTATGTATGAGCAGTTCCCAGAGGTGATGAACATGCTGTGGACCAGGATGCTGAAGGATAATAAGAAAAACTGGAGAAGAGTGTACAAGGTAGGACTGCCACACATCATATCTGTGTTCCCTGAAGTCTGCTATGTGTTTATTAAAGCAGGGCTAGAGGTTTCTTTGCTCGACGTCAGGCCTACATATGACTTCCAATGGTTTTCACACAAGGGACCGTGACCAGACCCAGTTTCCTTCTGTCTGTATTTCATTTTTTTAGGTTACATTTTCTTTTGACATTTCTGTGTGGCATCTCAGGATCTTGATTAGTGATTCTTGATTGTCTTTGATGTTATGAATAAATTTATTTATTTTATTGCATTTGACGGTTTGCAATCGATGTTGAGCTGGTTCCCCCTGCTTGTGGTTGAGAGACTATTTTACAATCTTTTTGCAGGACTGTTTTATCCAGCTCCAGAAATGAAATTATTTCCTGCATTTTGAGTTGCAGGAGGGTTGGAGAAAGAGCAACACTGATCTAAAACCAAACTACATCTCCCAGGATCTATTATAATCTGTTCAAACATTGCTAGATTACTGCAATTTGAAAAGCCTGATTACAGTGTGAAGGCAATCCTGACCTTACTTCACTCTTATTACTTCAACTTTTTTTAATTACCTTAAAACAAAACTACTGCAGCAGGTGTCACATCATGTGTTTTGTAAAACCTGCAGAATTTCTCTCTTTGGTTTTTTACGCCCATCTCTTGCAGTGAAGGGAATGAAACATAATTTCAACAGCAACACAAAACGTTGCAGCTCTGTAAGCAAGGCTTCTTGTAAAATTTTTAACCAGCTCCTGTTTTTTTTAACATGTCACTATGAAATGATCACAGAAGCTCAGAGGAATAACATTGTTCTTTTAAGTCATGCTGCAGCTGTTGTAAAATTACTTTTTGAATGTCAGAAAAATGAAATCTCGGTCTCTCAAGTCAAGTTTGTTTGTGTAGCACATTTCAGCAACAAGCCAGTTCAAAGTGTTTCACTCCATAAAAACATAATACAGTAATTGTGAATGAAACACGCAACAAACATTACATTTAGTCAAGTGCCATTATCAAAACCATTAAGCAAATATACATCCAATTTAATATTTAGCTTTAATTTAAAGAAACTCAATGTTTCAGCTGAGTTTGGCAGTTTTCTAGAAGTTTGTTCCAGATTTGTGGTGCATAGAAGCTGAATGCTGCTTCTCCACATTTGGTTCTGCGTCACTAACCTGCCCGTTTGAGCAGTTTGAATTTCTTCATGCTTCTCCATGGCTGGAAGCTCAGTTTGTGTTTTCTTTTTAACACACTGCAGAGACAGTCAACTTTATGGCTAAATTAATTTTATGTGAAGGGAATCTTAGCAAAAAGAAAGTGCAAATTTTTTTAGCAAGCAGTTTGAAGGATCAAAGATAAAACATTACGACTTATGAAGTGAAAAAAAGTTTAATTGGCAGCCAAAATCAGCCAAGCCGTGAATCTGGGTTGTATCTCTCTTGGGCTAATACCCACGTCTCTCCTCCAGGCCTTACTCTTGCTTGCCTATCTGATCAGGAACGGCTCTGAGAGAGTCGTTACCAGTGCCAGAGAACACATCTATGACCTGCGATCTCTAGAAAACTATCATTTTATAGGTGAGTCTCTTGCTTTGCAATTTTTAAGCTTTTTTTTTTTTTTTTGCGTATCTTGTGTTGAAAATGCAACACTAGCATTTATCCAAGCATTTGGATAAAGGTATTTCAAGGTTTCCCCCAGATTACTTGCTAAGCCCAGTGGTTGGGCGCCTGGGCGGTCATTCATCCAGCGGGCAGTCGTGTTTTTGACTTAAAAAATGTTTAAAGTTAATAGAAAATTTGAAAATCCATCCATTTTCTGTACACCGTTGTCCCTAGTGGGGTCTGAAGAGGTGCTGGTGCCTATCTCCAGCAAATGTTTTGAGCGAGAGGCGGGGTACACCGTGGACAGGTCGCTAGTCTGTCGCAGGGCAACACAGAGACAAACAACCATGCACACCCAGGGAGAATTTAGAGAGACCAATTAACCTGACATGTTTTTGGACTGTGGGTGGAAGCCGGAGTACAGGAGAGAACCCACACATGAACCCCTGACATTTGAAAATATCACTTGATAATTATGTGTTGAAAAATTGGGAGATTAAGACCTGAACACCAACTATAAAGTCTTAAAAATTGCAAACATCTTAAAAAGACTTAAAAACTAAGCAATGCTCACCCTGGTGAGGGCATAAGTAAAGCCTGGTGACCCGCCAGGCTTATAATGCACTGAAGGAAACCCTGTGTTTTGTCTTTTAATAAAGAGCAATAAATGGTTTAGCAGGTTTGTGTCTGTGACTGTATCGGTTTGGTTTATCTACAGATGAGAATGGGAAGGATCAAGGTATAAACGTGCGTCAGAAGGTGAAGGAGATGGTGGAGTTCATTCAGGATGACGACAGACTGAGAGAGGAGAGAAAGAAAGCAAAGAAGAACAAGGATAAATATATTGGAGTCTCCTCTGACAGTATGGGCGGTGGAGGTGGCAGCTTTAAGAACTGTAAGTAGCTCACAGCGTTCATCTGACAGCTTGAGTGGATTAAAATGAAAATGCAATCCTTCCTGGAGAACCTCAGAAAATATATTTTCTACAGTAAACGTAGCATGCTTTTTACTAATCCCTAAAGGCGTAATTCTATAAGTGAGTAAATTACCGCACTGGTTTATTATTTTCAAATATAAAATTAGGTGGGTAACTGCTAAAAATGGAAAATCATTAAGGAATGTTTCTTTTGTTTTCTGCAAAGGTATTAACTATTACCTGTAACATTTACGCTTCAGAGACAAACTTGGAGAAAATATTTACTGGTAATCACTTTCTGCAGCTCTGACCTCTTTATTGCTGTTATATTTTAAACTATTCATGTCGTTAAAATAAGGGTTTGAACTGCCAGATTGGTTTATGCTGAATCTCTCTGATTTTTATCTTTTTATTCTTCCAGCTAACGAATTGGATCGAAATAAGTGGGATGAAGACTGGGACAAGAGCAGAGGAGCTTTCCCTTTCAGCGAGAAGCTCGGAGAGATCAGTGACAAGATAGGCAGCACCATTGACGACACACTCAACAAGTTCAGAAAGAAGGAGCGAGACGACTCGCCTGACCGGATCAGGTAAATGGACACGCCACTCCGACAGCAAGAACAATCATGAATCATATTCAAATTATTTCCTGCACGGGGATCCACTGTGGTTCAACTTAAAATCAAAAATATATGGGGGAAAAAAAAGTTGGAAAATTCTAACTAGCAGTTAACTGAAGTAAATTTTGATTCAGTTTAAGCATTTAGTCTTCTGAAGAATCGAAAATAAAGCTCATCTGTCCCTGCAGACTTTTTCTGAGGATCAAAAGGACCTCATTGTTCCAGTGTATCAGTCAGGAGAAGGATCTAAAACAATGCAAGGCATTGTATTTAGTATAAATTGCAACAAAAATGTTAGATTTCTTAATCCAAAGACAATATAAAAATAGTAAAGGAGACATTCAGTAGGTCTACAGTAACACTGAAGGAGCAATATTACAATATGTTGTACTTACTATATATCTGGGCTGATACATAGGATCACAAGACAGACACCAGACGTGGCTAAAATCCTTCAAAACCTTGTGGGATGATATGTTATGTTTTTCTAGAAATGCATAATCCAAACCAGCACCATACCATGTTGCACAACAGACGTATCAATATATTTAATCTGTTTTAAGGAAATTAATTACAGAGAAAACCAGTTAAGCAGAGATCCGAACCCTTCAGACTTCCACAAAGACACAGCAGATCAACCTTTGCATAATCCCCTGAGCTCTGATGCGTCCTTTATCTGGTTGCCATAGTGACAATGAGGAGGAGAGAGGATCCAGAAACGGGAGGCAGGAGACGATCGAATTTAAAGACGAGGAGGAAACGGTCACGACGAAGAGCATCCAGATCACACAAGCGACAGAAACCACAACCACCACCACAAGGAAACGCAGCGGGGCGGCGAGCAGCAAGACGCTGGACCTGGGGGCTGCAGCGCACTACACCGGAGACAAGAGCCCAGAGGGAAAGGTACTCACACTCACCGTTTCTACCGTGACAATCATCTTCACCTTTGAAGGTTTAATCGCTGCGTCTCACTCCTCAGTCGTCGGGGAAGCAGACTTCCAGCGGTGGACTGGCCGACCTGCTGGTGATTGACCCTTCAAACAACGAGAGCACAGCGGCGGGTAACCACACACACATTCCTCTCCTACGCTGTCCAAACACACTTCTGTGTCCTGTGGTAAGTTTGCGTTTGTCTTCTCTCACCCAGCAGGGACTTCAGACCTCATAGGGGGCTTTGCTGACTTCTCCTCACCTGCAGCCTCTGCCAGCCTCCCCACCTCCACTGGTAAACGCCTTCCCTTGCTGCTCCTTTAAAACCTTCATTATGCCCTCAAAATAAAGAGGCACGGCTTTCTTTTGACGGGCTTTTTTATTAAAGGCCATGAAAACTACAGAAATAAAAAACAGCTTTAGACATGGACACACTTACAAAAACAGGTGACACGTGTTTTGACAAATTACCTCATGGCCGCCTTGCCACTTCGGAGGGCTTTCACAAATCAGTTATCACAACTCAATCGTCCACTCTAAATTAAAATAGCAAGTAATTAAAACACTATAATCGATACATTTACAAAAAATTACAAACATAATTGGAAAATACCTTATAACCACAAGGCTGCTACATGTGGCTTCATTCAGGCTTCTGCTCCCCTTTTCCTTTTTTTTCCCTTTCCTTTGAGTCTCGCAGCCTCAAATACATAAAATCTCGTGACAAACAGTTCGACACGACATAAAATACAATTATTCCACACAACTCTCGAACTTGAACCAAACTTAAAATACATCATCCTAATTATCGGAAATAAATTAATCTTTTCAAAACATAAATTATTTCACTGACACCTACAGTTAACAATCAGACATTTTAAGACATCAAATACAAATTTAAGAAATATGTCAGCTTGTCTACCTGTATCTAAGTGAATCCATTAGACTAAAGAACATGGTTGAAACAGTCTGAGTGAGTATTGAATTTAATCCAGAGATTTCCCAGGTCTGGATAAAAAAAGAAAATACATAAAAAAGTTATATATTGGTATTACAGACATTATGTTGTCTGAAGGTTGTTGTTTCTTCCTTATTATTTTTTATTTATTTATTTTTCCTTCCTTTCATCTTTATTACATTTAATTATTAATGATTTTACCTGTGAGAGGTCAAATTACTTCATTTTACTCAGCGGTGGGCAGAGTATCCGAAAATTATACTCAAATAAGAATAGCAGTACTTCAACATATTTTTACTCAAGTAAAAGTAAAAAGTAGCCATCCAAGAAATTACTCAAGAGTAGAAAAGTATTTAGTAAAACGTCTACTCAAGTACGGATTGACTGATCAAATTATCAATAATTTCTCATTTAAAAATTACATCATCAGACAGAACAAAATGTAAAGTTAAGTGGAAATTTTGGCATTTTAAGGAACAAAATTACAATAATTCAATAAGAAACAAAAAGTAACAAACCCAAATCAGTTTCTCTCAATGTAAAACTTATGAAACTTTAACAAAAACTGCAGGTGTTTCTTTGGTGAATTTTTGGTTAAAACATGTAGTTTTTCATGGAGTGGTCCACTCAGGTAAAAAGTACAGCATAGTAAAAATACTCCTAAACGTGCATTTTTTTCAAAAAAGTTATTCAAGGAAATGTGATTGAGTAAATGTAACTAGTTATTACTTAAGCATACTTTTTCTGACCAGCTGCTGCCTCTTCCAATGGAAACGGGGAATTCGGGGACTGGAGCTCCTTTTCAGGAAATCCCCCCGCTCCTTCCAGCTCCTGTCCGTCGCAGCCGGTTACCGACCTGTTTGGCAGCGGACCGTCAGCGCCGCCGCTGCCGGCCTCAAACCCATCCTCTGTCCCCCCATCTGCTGAGCTCTTTGACCTGATGAGCGGAGTCCACCATCAGCCAACCAATCCGCACACGACGCTCAGTGCTTCTCAGAGCATGACCTTCTCTCTTGGAGGGGTGACGCCGGGAGGATCCGTTGCCATGCCTACGATGCCACACTCCCGCTCTCAACAGGTATCAAAGGAAATATGAATTTGTTTAGCATTTTGAAAAAATGGTACATTATCGGTGGCTAAAATTGTTCAAATAGTCTAATGTATTTTCTGTATTATATGGCGCATTGTTACATAATTATCTATTTTCGATCTCTTTCATGGATGAAGCGCACCTGACTACAAGGTGCATTAAACGAAACAAAGCGGTCAGATAAGTCAGTCAGTCAAAGCACATTACGTATTACTCCACAACGCGCCTGACGACAGTCATCGTAATGTAATGTATAACATTTTGACAGAGCTCCGTGTGCCACACAAAATCACTTCAAGGTCAGTAAGCACAGCTAAACTTAAGCCCTTTAATTCAATATATGGGACTGTTTTACTCCACAGCAATACATACAGTGTCGTTTTTTTGATTAAATTAAAGGTTTTTAAGTGCACCTTATAGTCCAGAAAATAAGGCAGCTTATTCTAGATCTAAATTTTAGAATTACGTCTTGTACTGGAAAAATGTATTTTCTAAAAAGGTTTGCTGCTACACAGTATAATTTTGTTGTTGCACCTGTTAACTTATGTCTCAAGTTTTAATAAAACCATAACCCATGAATAAATCAGACAAATTTGTTTCAGAATTTGGTGGGCATGGTGTCCCAGCAGCCAACGGGATCGCAGCAAAAGGCTGGAATTGGAAGCCAGGGGTCATTAGGGTCAACTTGGTCCGACCCGTCCGTCAATATCAGCCTGGACTTCCTGTCAGCCGGACTCAACCACACAAAGACACCACCAACCCTGAACAATATAATCCAACAACAAGGTAATGTCCTTTAGTGAGCTTTTTTATCTGTTAAACACAAACAAATTGGACTTCCTGAAACTTATTATACTGCTTTGCAGAAGTATTCATACACCTTGAACCTGTTCACATGTTGAAAACCTCAAACTACAGTGTATTTTATTGGGATTTTAACTTTCTGATTGATTAATGTCATGTAGCACATAATGGTAAAGTTAAGCACATTAAAATATATTCTTCTGGACGATAAATTTCCCAGAAATTATTGTGACAAATGATAATATTGTTATTTTGAAACAATTTCCAAGTACCTGGAGAGCATTCTCTTTTCTTGCTTATTTTTATTGGTCTGTCTAACAAAATACATATAATTTGTAGTTGCGCCATGTTCAAATATGAAAACATTTCATATTTGTATGAATACTTTTGCGAGGCTCTGTAAAATATTCAAAGGAACAATTCATCTATACACACAGCAAACCACAAACAAGGTGGAATCAGATTTGTATCTGTTTGTGTGTGTGTGTGTGTGTGTGTGTGTGTGTGTGTGTGTGTGTGTGTGGACAGGAGTGCCTCCGGTCAGCCTGTTGGCTCAGAGTTTTGGAGGACTAACTCTCAGCTCCCCACCTCATGTGGCTCCCATCAGACCACCAGCCAATCCCATCATGGCTGGCAGCGCCATGGCGATGGGCATGCCTGCTTCCCTGGGCGTGGGCATGCCACCTTCGATGGCCACCGGCCTGCAGAGTGGAATTCCTGTGAACCAAGGGATGATGGGAATGAACATGAGCATGAATATGGGCATGGCCGCCCCGGTGATGATGGGTGGCATGGCAGGGATGGGGGTGCCAGGAGTGGGAATGGGCCTGAGCCACTCCATCAGCCCCGCCGTGGTCCCACCCAAACAAGATGCCTTCGCTAACTTTGGCAGCTTTGGGAAATGAAGGTTTGCTGTCAAGTGTGTGTGTGTTTGTGAATGAGTGAGTGAGCATGAATGTGTGGACCTGCGAGTAAGCAAACTGCAGAAGGACTTTGCTGTACTTGAAGACAAACCTTGCATGTTTGGGCTTTGGTGAGCTGGCGCCGGTGATTGTTTGCCATCGGTTCCCACTGATTCTCCGCAGCAGAGAGCAGAGGTGGAGAGAACATGTCGGTACATAACCATCATTACTTCCCTTTACTGGAAAAATCATTGTCTTCACGAGTTTTTATACAACCATATCTTATCCTCCATCGTTCAGTTTTTTCTGCACAAACAATTCAGTTTAGCTAAAATGGCACTGAAGCCTTAATTTTGCATTGTACATGAGAAGGTAATTTTTTAGAAATCTGAATTTTACTATACAATTTAAGCCATTTTACTCCAACTTTGAAAAAGCCCTTTTCAGACATGAATCAAAGCGGTCTGCTTCTATTTGCTCTTATGTTTCACAGCAAGCAGCTTCATTCAGACTGATCTGTTTATATGATCGAGTCATGTAAAATTGGCTATTGGTGTCTGCAGGTCAAAAAATAAAACATTTTTTGGTACCTACATCCATTTTGTACCTGTAAACAAACCATTGTTTACCTGTGCACTCCACTTAGATTTCATTGTAGTAAAGTATTTTCATAAATTATAAGAGGTCATTAAAATCCTCAATCATTGGAAATAATTTAATTAATTTGGATATTATCTGAAAACTTGGTGTTGGATCAATATTTTTGCTAAAATAAGAAAAATTATGACTTCTGGTTGAACCAAATTAACTAACTTGGGTCATAATGAATCTCCTGTTGGTACATATTGCTTCATTGGAGTTATGTGGAAACATTTCTTTACTGTGGATCATAAATTTAATTGGAAGTTTTCAAAGTGGATAACAGGATGTTTTGTACCTAAAAGGTGGATAACTCAACAACTACAAAGGTCAGAAATGGTGAAGGGCTGAAATGATCAGCACCTATAATTACTACATTCACTCCTTCACCAAGCTGTAGCTGAAAATCATTTCACACTCATGCACTTGAATTATGGAATATGTTTATTTGCAAATTTAGAAAAGAATTTACTAAAATGTGCAAAATGTAATGTGACTTTCTGTCTTCTTCACACCACTACTAAGTATTTTGGTTCTAAACTACAAAAGGTATGAATTGGTGAATTATAAAGTTAATTTACAGTTTGCTCTTAACTCAGCCATAAAATATATCAAGTCCAACATAAGATTATAATAAAAAAAAAGAAATAGTCTGAAAGCAGAAACTTTAGCACCAGTCTCTAAGCTGTTTTAAAACCTGTGTGCTGAAGGAAAAAATATTTAGATTCTGCATCTTATTGTTGTAAAAAAATCCACTAATTAAAATGCTTTTGATTATTAAAACGATGATGGAATCTGAAAGTAGCAGGAGGATTTTTTTCTGCTTGTGTTTTGCCAGTAAATTTCTCCTGTTTCTGTCTGGAAGGGGCTTTTGAACTCCCTTGACCGCCAGCAGGGGGCAGAATGATTCTACTTTAAAACTAGTAACATTCATTGTTCTGGATGGAGGATGGATGGGGAAATACAAATTAACATCTGAACCCAGACAAGCCCATTTCTTTTTTCTCTTTTGGTTTAGTCTAACATTTTAATCAGGTTGTTGCATTATAATATTTGGAGAGGTAGTACCGAATGATTCTTCCATTTGACTTTCTGAATGCATTTACCACATAAAGGGCCAGTCAGTATTTTATTCAGAGTGCTACTGATTATTTTCTATTTATGCAACTTGTTCACATGACTTCACAGATCTCAGTAAACTATTCAGTGTTACTTTCTGACTCACCGATATTCATAGCATCTCTTAACTTTTTTTGCATACAAACCGTTTTTATGCATTGAGGTACAGAAAAATCTTTCTGCCAACTTTGGGTGAAAGATTTACTCAGAAAAAAATAAGCTGCAACTTTACTTACACGTTTACAGTGGATTCTGGGAATACCTCTAACATTCTACCTTGAGTTGGAAACATTTTTCTCCTACACTTCGTTACCCATTGGTTAGAGAAGACGCTCCTCGACATTTGATTCAGATTAAATATGCTGGAGTTCAATCCCATTGGTTTGGGGTGACATTTGTGTGAGAAATGGATAACAGGCGTTTGTGAGTTTATGTATGGGTCTAAGTTTCTTCTGTTTGATGTACAAACACAGCTAAGCAGAGCCTCTTGTCATTTCTGAGGCGCTGCCCTCCAAATGACCAAATCTTTATTTTGTTACTCTCAGAATTATAATTCCATAGGTTTTAGTTTAATACTTTATTAGTTGTAAGGTTATGATCAAATAAAACTGCATTTGAAGTGATTTAGTTTACTTAAATCATGTTTTTTTTTTTTCATTTTCCTTCAACACAGATCTTTTGATTTGATTGCTGTATATTTTCTGTACTTCATTGAACAATAAATTAAATTATAACATTAAACAGTTGGGTTTCATAGTTTGGTTTATGTGTATTTTATGACTTATTTACATTCTTAACAGTAATTTTAACAATGGTGACAAATTGAAGTAACAAGCAATAAAAAAAAACATTTTAAAATGTTCGATAAAATGTAAAAGATTTCAAATAGGTTGCATCACATCAAGTGTTAATGTGTATATAATGTAATCAGTGTTTTGTGATTTGTTTCAACTTGTGTATATTGTTTAATTTGGTTTGCTTTTGTGTAATTGCGTTGTTATGTGTTGCAGATTTTTTCCCAGATCACTCTGGCAAATGAGATCTGGACCTCAGTGGGTTTTTACTGGTTAAATTAAGAGGAGAAGGAAAATCTGGGGAACACCGTGGTGAGGTTCAAGGACCATTCTAATCCCTTAAAAGCATAGATGAACCATGGCTTTGACACAAACAAAAAGTACAAGGACACTCTTGACCAATGTGCAAGAGAAAGATCCATGAAAAAGTGTCAGAGTGAGGATATAGTAACATGCGTGTTTGCAACACGGTTTAGCTTCGTAAATAAAACAACAAAGCTAATTTTGCTAGCTCGCCTAAGTACTGCAGTAAATATCACTGATATTTATTTTAGTATTGCACAGAGTTGGAGAGAGTACTCTGAAATTGTGGTCAAGTTGAAGTTGTAATGTACTTAAAATGTTTATAAATTAGACAGGAACGTGGCTATAGCTGGTTCTGAGCTTGCGACTTGTTTATTGTTGTCATTGCAACCCCATACCAACTGACATAACAGCTAGTTACCTACCAAGATGGGTTCTGTCAGCTACAAAGATCCCAGCAATGTGACGTCACATAAGAACTATCAATAGAAAAACAACACCTTGGAGACTGAATGCAGGCAGGTAGTTATCAGGAGCTAATCCTGCAACTCTTGGATTAAGAAATCTAACCTATGCTTGTCAGTAAACATTGTTTATGAAATTAGCACTTTAAAAACATATTTTGCGATTGAAGTTACTCTAGCAATGTTTGAATAACTCGCTCGCCATGGCAACTAAATTAAAAATATTTTGTTTACATTTTCACAATTTAAAGAAAAACTAATCCAAACACTTCAAGGAGGTTACGGTTACTGCAAATAAATGGGAGGTCTAAACTGTCCCGACAATCTAAAAAGGAAAAAAACCACAGTCTACTGAACAGAGACCTGGATCAGGAAGTACCAGAATGTGATGCTACTTCAGGAGAAAACAAAGCAGCTACCCAGGTCCACTCATTTAAGGGTTTTTTCCACAGTCGAGACATTTTACCAGATAATATTTTTGGTGAGTAGCATTTAAAATATCTGGGTCAAGATTAAATATTCAGTCTCCAGTTCTACACACTGTCAGAAGAGAAGCTGTGCTGAGATATGGAGGATGAAAGATTGTCATATCTGTTACCACAGATTGTGACCATAAATGAAAACTGCTAACATAAGAAGTTTTTTCCTGTTCAGTAAAAAACTCCAGTGTGTTACAAATGGGAGAACTCCTGACCTCAGCTTCAGGATGCCCTTCTGAACCGTCTGTCAAACCAGGAGGAGGTGGTCAAAGCACCAGTTTTGTCATTCCACCATCAGAGATCGGTAACTATAGTAATAATAATAACATTAATGCTAATTTACATGCTAATTGATACAGTGGATATAAGAAATGTATCTCACTCAGATTAAAATGTCAGGTTTTGTGAAGTTAAAAAAAAAACGATAAAGTAATAGTTGGTCATTTTTTGCTAATCATTGTTTTAACTAAAAGATGCAAAGAATAAAGAATCATGAAAATCCTGCGAGGACAGCTAATCTTCGTTTAAGTTGATCTGAATCTCTGTAATTGACGGTAGCTCTATGCCCTAAGAAACTAACTGTTGGAATTAATTCAGAAGGTGGTTCAACAAAGAGTTTGTTTCAGAATGTAAATATGATTGGATTGTTTTTTAGTTGAGTAATACATGTCATAATAAATGAGGAAAAAGTTCTGAAAGATTTATGGTGGTCAAATTTTTTTCATCACATAACCCTGTCATTTTAACACAGGTGTGCTGCAATAGTGCTTATAAAATTGTGGCTGTATAATTAGCCACCGGTAGGATTGTGTGTTAGTTTTTAAAAGTGGCTCTAACTGCATTACTCTGATTGGATGTAAATACCTCAAATCTTCTCAGATTTCAAACCCAACCAGTTTATCCAAGAGAACGGACGGGTCAAACGGCCAATGAATGCCTTTCTAGTGTGGGCTCGTGTCCACAGAGAGGCATTGCAAAAAGCCTTTCCAGGAAGAACCAGCAATGACATCAGTGTTCAGCTTGGAAATGAGTGGTATAAGCTCAGTAATGAACAGAAGAAGCCCTACTTTGAAGTAGCTGACAAGCTGAAGAAAATGCACAGACTGTATTTCCCTGGTATGAGCATTACATGTCTGTCTGACAGTATATTAATTATTGATTAATCACCTGGTCTTCCAGTCAAGTATTCTGTGGAAGACATAACTCTTCATTATAACTCATGTTGGCTCTGACTGTTGTACCAGATTATGAGTATCGCCCAAGGAAGAGAAAAGACACAAGGCAAGCTTTCGAAGGGAAATATGACCAAACATCAGGACAACAGCAGGACCCAAATATTCACTGTACTGGCTCACAGAGTATACCTTCAGTTCAGCCCAGGTTCCTGGACCCTGTTCTACTTGGCCCATCACCTGTGCCTCAACTAGTTTCCTGCAATATTAATATGTCCTTTAACCCCCATCATCAAGCAACCATGTACCGTATGGGCCACAGCCAGAGTGTAAGGTGAGGTGTAAAGTTTCTGATTTCCATATTTTACACATCTTGTTTTTAGTGTATTTAGATACTTGTCAGTCAATAAATCACAAAGATTTAAATTTATTTTTCAAATGGTTTTACAGGCCTGGATTTGCCAGAAGCTGGATGGAGGAGGTGAAAACCTTCGACCAAAGTTACTGGCACAGTGGACCTTTGAGCCCGTTTGTCTTTGATGGTTATTCAGTGCAGCATTATTATTCACCTGATTTTATCTAAGAAGTTATTGTTGGCTGGAACATAATTTCAGTGTTGGCTGATGTCACCTCTCAACAACACTAAACAGTGAGAGGAGTTTATAAGCCAGCATCCAGGTGATATTGGCAGAGAAACATTGGGACCACAGTTTAAATGGGCTGTTTCCATGTATTTAAATAAAATGTTTACAAATACATGGTGCATACACTTTTTATATCAATATTTCTATTATGCTCAAAGTTTCTGAAGCTTCAATTTTTTCCTTTTATGTTTTTTAAGGAGAAATACTGAATGACTTCCGGGCAGGTCATTCAATCGTGGCTAGATTTTAAATATATCTTAACTTAGAGGTTGGATATATTTTGAAGTTCATTTTCAATCAAAGTTTCCCTGGTAACTATAATTGACCTGCACAAACTTTTAATGCTTACATTAAAATGTACGTACATTAAAATGCCCAACAGAGTCAGCACGCATACAGAATGAAAAATTAGCAGAACAGCCTATATTTAAAATCACTAGCCCCACGCTGAACAAAGATAAACTGGTAAAAGAAGGCCAATAAACATTTAGCTGAAGGATCGCGAGAAAATTTGTGTCCAATCGCAGAGTGCGCATCTTGAACTGGACCGTTATGGACGGCAACGATCAACCAATAGAAACGTGTGATTACCTTTTTGGGGCGTTTCCAGGAAGAAAGCGGTTACACTTTCCTGTAATGGCGGACCAGACAGAGAGCGAAACTCTTGGGTTTAACGACAACAGGTCAGATATGAGAAAAACACGAGTTTACAGTACAATGGTTACAGTGTGATATTAAATACAAATGCAGATTTTAGATGCACCTGGTCGGGAATTCTACAACTGAGACTTTTCGCGTTTTTACTTGTGAATGTAGCCACGGCAGCTAACTAGCCTGTAGCTGTTGCGCCTCTCCGTCTATTACACGCGGAACAGACACTTTCCTAATCATAAGACGTCTGTTTAGACCAGAGCCCTGTCTTATGTCCACACAAGAGGTATATTTATATCTAAAAGCTTGTTAGAAGAAATCCGTAAGATGTTTAGGTAAAGAGCAGTCCGCTCAGTATATTGAATGAACGGGGTGGCTATTACCCTGATTAGCAAGACACACTAGCACAACATGATTGATTTTTGTTCGTGATTATTATGACCCGAAAGCATTCAGTATATATGTGTTAGTTAGAAGACTACATCACTATAAATACACACAACAAAAAAACTCACATACTCGTATAAACTATAAACATGTGTAGTTTATGTCGATGTAACACCAATTTTAAAGTATTCCTAGAGGCTATTGTTGGCTTTTTGGTTCATGGTGTATTGCACTGCTGCATTGTTTGCAGATTTAACATACTAGAAATTCTGGGAATATACAGAAGTGATCTGAATAAATAATACAGGTTTTTATCTGATTGTAATTTCTCTTGAAGAAATTGGATAATGGAAACCTAAATTGATTTGTTGTGGAAATAAATGTCTATGGTAAGATAGTTAATGTCTGCATCAGCCAGGTTATTTAACATAAGTATATATAAATAAGTCCCAAAAAAATTAATTAAAGGATACCTCATCTCACTTTTGCTTGTTGTTTTTTATGGTACACCTGTATCTCTAAATGGGCACTACATTTCTGCAGTCTGCATTTAACAGCTCTACATAGAACTAATGTTTCAAAAATAAAGAATAAAGTTGACTGATTGAGCTGTTTTTATATTGATGTTTTGCACAGTTTGCAGTGTTACTGAGTAAATCCATCGACAAAGCTTTGTTAACTGTAAACAACAGTGTTTTTTGTATTTCCTATAGAGCTGTTGGGCCATTAAGGTGGCAAACCACCTTCACACATTTGCATTCTTACTATGGTGTAGCTCTACTTTTTGTATTGTGCATTGAAGAACTACAGCTTGAAACATTAAAATCCTCTACTTTATTGA